CAAGAATGGCAGCAAAAGCACCGCAGGCAGCTGCTTGGATGCTCTGGACGTGCCTCAGCTGCTCTTGTACCGGGCTGCTGTCTCCTCCACATGCTAGATCACCCCAGGTCACGACATCGCCAGATTGCACAATGGCAGCAAAAGCACCGCAGGCAGCTGCTTGGATGCTCTGGACGTGCCTCAGCTGCTCTTGTACCCGGGTGCTGTCTCCTCCACATGCTAGATCACCCCAGGTCACAACAGCCCCACTTTCAAGAATGGCTGCAAAAGCACCATTGGCAGTTGCTTGGATGTGCTGGACGTTCCTGAGCTGCTCTTGCACCTGGCTGCTGTCTCCGCCACTTTCTGGATCACCCCAAGTCACAACAGTCCCACATTCAAGAATGGCTGCAAAAGCACCATCAGTTGCTTGGATGTGCTGGACGTTCCTGAGCTGCTCTTGAACCTGGCTGCTGTCTCCGCCATTTTTTGGTTTCCCCCAGGTCACAACAGCCCCACATTCAAGAATGGCTGCAAAAGCCTCGCCAGTTGCTTGGATGTGCTGGACGTTCCTCAGCTGCTCTTGCACCTGGCTGCTGTCTCCGCCCCATTCTGGATCACCCCAGGTCACAACAGCCCCATTTTCAAGAATGGCAGCAAAAGCACCGCTGGTTGCTTGGATTTGATGCACGTTCCTGAGCTGCTCTTGCACCTGGCTGCTGTCTGCGCCAAAGCGTGGACTGCCCCAGGTCACAACAGCCCCATTTTCAAGAATAGCAGCAAAAGCACCGTTGGTTGCTTGGATTTGCTGCACGTTCCTGAGCTGCTCTTGCACCTGGCTGCTGTCTCCGCCACTTTCTGGATCACCCCAGGTCACAACAGCCCCAGATTCGAGAATGGCAGCAAAAGCCATGTAGGTTGCTTGGACATGCTGGACGTTCCTGAGCTGATCTTGCACCTGACTGCTGTCTCCGCCGCGTGCTGGGTCACCCCACGTCATCAGCTCGTCCCCTTTGCCCTGAAAAGCGAAGGCCATGCCTGTGGCAGCTAGTATGTCAAGCTGCGCAACCGCAGTGACCGCGTCCCCATGTCGAAGCCCAGCCTCACTCACCTAGGCTGGAATTAGGACCCCAGCAAAAGATTATCCTTTTTGCCTGGCGGGTGGAAAACAAAAAAGCAAAAAAATAAAAGGGGAGCTGATTCTGGGGAAGTCGCAGTGGCCGCCACATCGAGCTGCCGACCTTCCGCGGTCAGCTTCAAGCGGCGCTGGAAATGCTTTTGCACTGAGGCCTTCAGCTCCCTGACGAGCGTCGCTGCTGAGACGTCAAAGGAGCAGCCATCGCCACTGGGCAAGTGAACCTCCAGCCTCATGGCGCAGGAAGCTTTCTATGACTTACCCCTTAAGACTCCAAGCCTGGGGAAGTTAATCTTTTACAGACATATAGCCCATGTTACCCAAAAAGTTGAGAAAAGTTGTGTTTTTAAGCGGTAAGATGAAGTACAGTACCAAACATGTGGCTGTGGGTAAAAAAAACGGAACTCCAAAATGGGTTGGCAAACGGAACCAAGGACTAAGGACTCAACCGGCGGTCCCCGAGTGGCTCAGTTTTGACCCAGGCCCACATGAAAGTTGGAGCCTGAGTTGACTCTGAACAAGAGTTGGAACCACCTCAGCTGGTGGACATGAATCCGCACGGCGAAAAGCCTGATGTCCACCAAACAAATCCCTACCCAGAGGCTCCCGATGATTTCGGGCCTTCGAACAATCTGGTTTTGAGACCGGGTCCCAACCACCTCCTTTTGGGTGTCTAATGGAGGGGTCGGGTCTTCCATTGAAAGCCGAAGCCATGGGCAATGGAAAAAAGTCGCAGATCCAGAGCCTCAAGAGCCGGCTGAATCGTCAGCCCCCTCTCTAAAGCTCTTCCGCAGCCCAACAAAAACCCACGGGCGACGTCTCATGAGACACACTCAGTCATGAGCAACAGCAACGTACCCAGAGCTTCCTCGGCCTGAGTAACTTACGCCTTTTGTCAACGGCCGTAAACACCCTGTAAAAAGGCCGCAAAAAGCTGTAAAAAGGCCGTAACCACCCCGTGAAAAGGCCGTAACAAACCTCCGTGTTTAAACGGCCTCCGTAACTCAGGCCTTTGGACTCCCTGGGGTAGTTGACAAAAATGGCTCCGTGCTACTGCGTTTGTTCACCGGATCCCGGGAAACTCAAAACCCGCGCGAGCGCAAAGTGGTCCTTTGGAACCCAAAAGGGAAGTTGGTCTCCAGATTTGACTTGGTAAGCCTCCAGTTTGTGAAGACTGGAACAAAGATTTCCAGTAGTGATAAGTTCCTTTTAAGACAAGGGAAAAGAACAAATATTGGACGTCAGTTGATGGTAGCCCGAGCTTTAAGCCACCTGTAGATCCCCCTGAGTGGAGCCAACCCTGTCAATGGGTAATAGCTCAGCTCGCGAACTTACTAAGGTACGTTTGGGCGCTATGCGCTTCACAGTCTGTTATTGGCATGACTTTAGATATGTTGGCATTTGTCGGGGGTTCTGTTCATGTTTACTAGGCTGCAAAAAGCTGCCAGTCTTTTGCAAGCCCATACCGAGAGTTGCACCAAACCATGTTTGTTATAGGAAGCTTCTTTTCAGCAACCACCCATTGGCTCTCCCAAGGGGAGTGCGGACTGGTTGCTATGGGTGTGTCCCTGTCTAGGGGAATTTCAATTGGCTCAGTTGAACCGTTTTGGCTATGGCTAAACAAGGACAAAAGATAAGAAATGCAAAGGATCAAAGGCCGATTCGCTTCGGGCAATCGAGACCACACCCATATTTCCCACTAATTGGTGGCTTGCATTGGTGGTTTGGGGATTTGAACCCCTGCTTCTTGTGGAGGGTAAGTGGAGAACCCCTCCTTAGCCCACCAAGCCACGAATCCAAACCACCGAGTTTAGACTCTGGAACTTAAGTGGTTAGCCTTTGGAACAAAATTCTGAACCGCAACCGTGGAATGACGATCCGCTTCCCCTGTAAGTACCAAGCATTTTCCCCACTCACAGTACCTGCCTGGGACGCACTCTGCGCCAGCCGCCGCTTTGGCTCCTCATATCTCTGGGCCCTGCGAGCTCAGGGTCATAGAAAAAACCGACTGCGTCGTAATCAAAACCATGCCACCCTCAAAATTGTGTCGCAAGAAATGGGGTTGCTTCTTTGAAGCTCTGGTACCTTTAGTTGGTTTGTACCTGGACCCGCAAAATTCCAGCTTAAACACGGGCTATTGCAACCCACAATTTAGAGGGCGAACTCTTCTTTTCTTTGGGTCGCTTCAGGCTCCAGGTGGAAATAAAGCCAGTTGCTCAAGCCCCCCGCAAAAAGTGAATAAAAATGTCCAGTACCCGGATCCAAGTTTGCTCCAGGAACACACTTGGCTCCTGAGCTGCCTCTCACATACTTTGGGGTAAGCGGATTGTTCAGACACTACTTGGTTTTTGGGGTGGTTGAACCGAAAAGCTGATGCACGGGCAGACAGCTGGACCTCCTTTTGTTTTGCTCATTTCCTTTTGGCTTCCCGGAACACACGAATCCCCTAAATGTTATCCACCAAAGGGCCTAGTAACATCGCGGCCATGTTGTTCGGCGGCTCCCCCACTAAAAGCCTTCAAAAGCCCTGAGGCCTTTGACGCAAACACGGCCATGAGGCCTTACTTATGCAATCCGCATGGCCTTTAACATCAACAGGGGATTTGTTTTAACTCACCCAGCTGATCCATGCAAACCTGGTTTTGTAGGCAACCAAGGGTGGGAGCCACCCGATCTTAAACGTGTTATGCTTTGGAAGCATTGGAGCTGTAACACATGATCCCTGTGAGCGGCCCTTCTGTATGCAAGCCATAAGGACGTAGATCGAAGGGCTGCCTGCTATATGGCTAGGTCCTCCAGCAGAGAGGTTAGAATAAGGGTACCCACTTTTTTCCTGTAGTCTATTGTAGGGGATCCCTCCCCCCAACAAAGGGGTGAGAGGTCGGGCACTGGGGGACTTGGTATGGGCAAAACGCCTGGGAAAGTTATGTGTAAAGCCCGCACAACTTGAGACTGCTCCAAACCTTCACGTAAGCTTTTCTTAAAACTTGAGTCCTCCCCATTCGAATTTCAGCATTTTTTTTTGTTTAACAGTTGTGTAGGCTCCAAACCTTCACGTACCTTTTTCTAAAACTTGAGTTCTCGAGTCATTATTTTCAGCCATATTTTTTTTCTTTACTGATCCCATTCCCACACGAAAAGACACAACCACAAACCTAAAAACATGACCACCGTTTTTTGGGCCCAGCCAGGTTTGGAGAACCCGAAACAAGTCCGCCAGGTCCTTTTGGGTGTCTAAAGCTTGGTTGTGTCTGGGTCACAGAAAAGGAGGCTGAGCACCCGAGAGTTAAAAGCTCTTTGCGCGCTTGGGAGAAGTCACTTCTTCTTTCCCCGTTTTTCCCTCCCAAGTCCCGGAGCTTCCGAAGGAAGCCGTTTGTTTCGGCCACTTTGGTCAACGGCCGGAAAGGAACCCCCCGTAAAAAGGACTTCCCCGGAAGAAATCCAGCCGTGTTTTTTTTGTTTGCTTTTTTTTTCCGGCCGTCACTCGAAACGGCCTTTGGGAATTTTCTGGGTCCCTCCGCTGCTCCGCCCCGCTGCCTGCACCAAATGGTCCCCGAGCTCAAGAGCATCATGCACGGCGCCGCCCACGCCAGGGCATGCAGGTCCATGGCCGCCCAGGCCACCGGTAAGCCCTGCGCGGCAGACGTTGACCTCGCACACCGAAAAAATCGGGCCTTTGCAGCCACGAAACTACCCCCTACTCCAAAGACCCACTTGTTTTAGGGTATTTTTTGGGGAAAACCGATCGGTTTCCCATGGTAAATACATTTTTTTAGTAGAGGGTTTACATGATACCCTTGAAAAAGTGGGTATTGGGTGTAAGGGGTAGGCTGGAAAAATCGGACCCCAGCAAAAATGATCTTTTTGGCCTGGGTTCTGAAAACGTGGAAAACAAAAAGGCCCCCCCCCCCCCCCAAAAAAAAAAGGGGAGCTAATCTAGTTCTGGGGAAGCAAAAGTCGGCCTCTGGATTCGGAGTAAGCCTCACTTCCCATCGAGTGGAGCCAAAGAAGTAACCAAACTTCTCATTTACCCCCGTAACCTCCAAATATCCATTTTTATTCCAGGGTATCATTTGTCGACCCTCTACTAAAAAAGGGATCGGTATTTACCTTGAGAAGCCGAAACCGGTTTTTGCGGAAAAAAAAAGCCTACCAGCTAGAAAAAGATGCCGAGCTTCGGTATTTGGAGGAAAAAATGGGAACTTCTCAAATTTTACCACCACGCTCCAAACCCAAAAGGTGCAAAGTCAACGAGTCCCGGTAGTAGCTGGTAGTAGCTCCCCGGTAACTTCCAAAGACCGATTCGGCCTTTTTCTAGTTGGTACTTTTTGGAAAACCGGTTAACCGGCTTTCCACGCAAAATACCGCCTTTTCTAGTAGAGGGTCCACATGATACAAACTAAAAAAAAAGGCCGGGTATCGGGTGTGAGGGGCATTTTTCCGATCCTCCGCTTCGATGTGCCGATTTCAGATCACCATGTGGGACAGGGCTTGGTGCATGGGCAGGTTCTCAACATGTTTTTTTTTGAGGGTACCCGGTTCTCAACTCTGGTTTGAAAGGGAAACCAAAAGGAAAGCCATTGTTTTGGTGAGAAATCCCTAAAGAAAAGACACACCCACACCCCCTGCTCCAAATACCCGGCCTTTTTTTAGGGTATGATTTGCCGACCCTCTGCTAAAAAAGGAGGGATAAACCATGCAAACCCAGGTTTTTCAAACAATAGCAATATCATAAAAAAGCGGGTATCTGGAGTAGGGGGTATGTGCATGGTTGCGAAGTCGGCTTCTCGCACCACGAAATGAGTCACCATGGTGGAAACCATAACGTTTGTTGGCTTTTTCGGGGGAATCGAATCATTCCGTTGGGTTTCTTAGGTGGCGCGAAATGGATGTTTATCCACCCACCACATGTAAGCCGAGCCCTGTCCAACGAAAATGGCAAGAGTTGTCTTTTGGTGTTCCTTTCACTAGCAACCACAAAGGGGTCAATTTGGAGAAAGACCCACATAACCATGGGAAACAAGATTCCGACAGATCCTGGCAGCTCAGAGCCGGCAGTCGAATCTGTAAGTAGGGAAACCAGCCAAATGGTTGCCCTAAGCAGCCTCATCAAACAAGTATCTCGAAAACCAGCACATCTCATGCTCCGATTTCAGTGGATCCCTCGCAAACGCTTCCGTCTGGCAACTCTTCGTATGACAAAACCCTCTGCTACAAATGAACCAGGTCAGAAGAAACACAACACCGGGACAAACAAGACATCAGCAACAGACTCATTACCCAATGACTGCACACATTTGCCTAAATCCCTTGCAAAAACAACAACAACAACAACAACAACAACAACAACAACAACAACAACAACCATAGTTTTGGTGGTGATAGTTTCCATTTAACACCCACAACAGCGCCCAGTGGATCCACCTGTACGGTAGGCATACCCTGTATCTGGGATCTACTGGGATATACATACACATCTTCCGAAACGCCAAAATGATTTCCCCAACAAAGGCCCCTTGGACCGATCGATTTCATTCTTGCAAAGGGGGTTAAGGAACCCCCTCATATTGAGGGTCCCCAAGGGGGGCTAGGGTTACAAGATCAATAACTAGGTCCTCTCTAGTCGGTTTCAGTAGGGGAACCCTTCCCCAACAATTAAAACGGCACTGGGGTATACAGACATGTTCCGAGACGCAAAGAATTACCAAATGAGAACACCATGCCAAGAGCAGCGAAGTGACGGTCCCGGCAGAGCAGCAAACCCCGCGGCAAGGGCCAAGGACAGTTGCGGACTTTGCCTCACGTCACAGGGGGCGAGGTGAGTCATAATCACAACCTGATACACAAATGGTAAACCAAAGCGGAACCTGGAGCCATAGCGGAAGCAATCGGGCAAAATGGAAGGCGCGCGTCTCAGGGCCCCTTTGACCAACATTTAAGTCATAATGAAAACCCAGTGTGGTAAAATGGTCTGCCCAGAACCATGTAAGGAATTGAAAAGGCAGATATCCTGTCTTACCCCCGAAACCTCCAGATACCTTCGTTGCTTACCCGGAGGGTCCAAGTACCTCATGAGGATGGCTTTTGGGGGGTAAAAAGGGGTCTAAGTACCTCCTTAAAAGGTACTTGGACCCTCTGGGTTAGGTGTTCTGTTGTGGAAAACCTGGTTTTTCAGGGTACATAGATCCTGGTTTAGGTGTTGTTTTTTATTGGAAAATCGTGTTCGGTTCTCCGGGGTAAATACCGATCCTTTTTTTTAGAAGAGGGTCGATTCATCATAGAAACAAAAAGTGGGTATTGGGTGTAAGGGGTAAATTAAGGAAGCCTGGAAATGGGTGGTGTTCCGTTTAAATTCCATTCAACGTTGGATTGGCCAAAGAAACCAAACTCTTTGTTGCCAATGGCCAAGATCCAAGAAGCTCAGGCGATATCCCCAGCACCCCAGCCTCCCAGAACCCTCGCAGAACCTCATGGAACCCTCGTGGAACCCTGGTGGAACCCTTGTGGAACCATACCTCAGGGCCGCCCCAGACTACCCCGGAGCCTATCTGGGCTGAGACCCCAAAGCTTTCAGCCGTTGGGGAAAAAAGTGACTGAAGCCTATACACCTCAGTTGCCCCAAGGACCCAGAAATAAAAGATGCACCTTTGGGGGGATTTCACCACCCCCTGCTTCAAATACCCTGCCTTTTTTTAGGGTATGAGGTCGACCCTCTACTAAAAAAGGGATCGGTATGTACCATGGAAACCCGATCGCTTTTTCCAAAAATACCAACTAGAAAAAGTTGGTATTTGAAGGTTGCAGGGGTAAAAATGGTTGCCAAAAGGGGGAAGCTAAAAGGTCAGTTGAGGTCGATTCGCACTGAGGGGGCTCTCCAAAGATGACCCTTTAAACTCCCTTTGAAAGCATCAAACCCCGAACTTCCAACAACAAAAACACACATATTGGACAAACGAACAAGCGGGGATACGGAGGGAGCTGGGATATGGGGGGATTCCCTTGGCGCCATTTCCCATATCAAACTTAGTCAAAGTGCCTTCCCGGTCCACCTGAGTCTGTACGTGCCAAGGTTGGAGCCCCCAAACTGATTGGAAGCCCTTTACTTCCCTTTTCAACTTCAACACTCTTAGCGATGATAATCCACACAAATTGCAAAACCAACTCAATCCCGTGAATTTGAGCGCTTTGCCAGTAAACTAGTCTTTCATGAAACCATGGACGTGTGTGTGTGTGTGTGTCTCTGTGTCTCTGTGTCTCTGTGTCTCTGTGTCTCTGTGTCTCTGTGTCTCTGTGTCTCTGTGTCTCTGTGTCTCTGTGTCTCTGTGTCTCTGTGTCTCTGTGTCTCTGTGTCTCTGTGTCTCTGTGTCTGTGTCTCTGTGTCTCTGTGTGTCTCTGTGTCTCTGTGTCTCTGTGTCTCTGTGTCTCTGTGTCTCTGTGTCTCTGTGTCTCTGTGTCTCTGTGTCTTTGTGTCTCTGTGTCTCTGTGTCTCTGTGTCTTTGTGTCTCTGTGTCTCTGTGTCTCTGTGTCTCTGTGTCTCTGTGTCTGTGTTTTTTAGGGAACTTCATTTTGAGTGGCTTTTAAAGGAAAACCGAAAGGAAACCCTACATTTTGGCGGGGTCGGATTCCTACCAAAAAAAAAAAAAAAAACACCCCGGGTTAGAGTGTCCTGTCGAGTCTGTGACTCAAGTCTTCGGACTCAAACGCATGTCGATTCGATGAAATCCAACGACTTTGGTGGGATTCCCACGACTTTGGTCAAGGGGATTCCCTTTAGGCCTAAATCCTTAAGCAGGGGTTGGATTTGGTGAGTCATTGAGCCTAAAGAATTAGAAGGCAGGGTACTTGCAACTCAAATTCATGCTTGGAGAAGTATTCTATAGTTATTTGATTTCCAGACCTTATGGGGAGCACACATAAAATTAACAAAAATAAACTAAAACACAACTAAAAGCATGCCAACAGTGAAGTAAAGTTGCCCTTATATTCTCCAGTGACACCAAAACCCAATCTCCCACCATGCCCAGGGTTTCAAACCACCATTAAAACAAAGGGGATAAATATAGCCACCATTATTTAGCCTTCAGGAGTTTCATCCTCCAAATTGGGTTTTCTTGGTTGCCATTCTTTTCCTGGAAAGCTTAACCCGAGGGGAACCAGGAACCCGAGGGCATGGCAAGCCTGGCTTTCGCTTGGCTTCGCCGAGTCTCTTTGGCTTTGCAAAGCCCAGTGCACGGAGGGCATCCTCCAGAACCAGCGCGATGCAGTCGCACACGTGGCACACATCCATGAAGCAAGCTCCGCGCGCCGGTGGCACGGGGTTTTCCAGACCGATCCCGTTTTTGGCAGAGGGTCCACATAAGACCTAAGCAAAAAGCGGGTATTTGGAGTGGGGGTATGTGTTAAGTTGGTTTTGCTCTTTCGCTCGTTTGCTCGTCTCATCCCACCTTCAAGGGGAGGGGGGTGAGGGAAACGTAATCCAATTTCAATTGTATTTCCCAGAAGGGACCCAATTCCATGCATCTAGAAAACAAAACGGAAAATTGCCCCGCAAACGGACATTTTAGGGGTCATCTTCTCCCAATTTCATTTGGAGGCTGGGGACCTCGTCTCGGACGCCGTATGTGTTGATCAATTTAGGGACGAAAAGAAGAAACGAAACAAGCTTGTTCGATCTGTTGGATTTTAGGCGAGTCGCATTAGTATATGTGCGCTTAGGTTAGTAAGGCTGCCCCCACACGCCCCAGAGTTCTTTCTTCTCAGGGCTGTGGGGAATGACCACAGCTGTGATACAACAGAAAGGGCTTCCCAAAGACTATTTTCTTCATATAAAGGGAGATTCCCTTGTATCACAGAAGTGGGGAGAAACCCCTTGATCCCACAACGCTGTTTCTTGTTAACTAGTGTTTTAGACCTTTCGCAGGAGTAGGGGTGTCCTAGTTGGCGTCGGTCGATTCTCTGGTACTTGACAAGCTCAGGGTAAGCATAAGCTCCATAGTTGCACCCGGGTTGCTTCTTGGCCCTGGGTTTCAAACCACCATTACAACAAGTGGGGTTAAAATGTCTGCACCATTTACCCTGGAGCTTCATCCTCCAAACTGGGTCCTTGCCATTCTTTTAATGGGCTCTAGGGTGACCGGTTGAGGAATCGGTGGAAAAAGCCCACGGGAGCCTTGAACCTGAGTCGACGGGCACGCGAATGGGCAGAACGTGGCACGGAAATGCAGGACACCCCCCCCTCCTCCAAATGTGGAGTCTCCATGACCCGAAATAAAAATGGGGGCATTACCAAAAAGAATGGTTGGTCATGGACCCATTTTGAAAGGGTCATGGAGACTCCAGGTACTTCTTTTTAGATGCTTTTGCAGAAAAACCCTGGTTTTCCATGCTAAATACTCGACATCATACACCAGAAAAGCGGGTACTAGGTGTAGGGGGAATACAAGGCTTCGCTGATTCAGGATGATTCGGCGATTCCAGAATACTCTTGTAAACTGACACGAAAAGTGCTGGAAACCAGAAGGAAACGAGAGGGGTTGAAGGGGTTCACGACACCTTGATTAAAGGGTGAGCAGGAGACTCCGCGTAAAAAGTACCTCAGAGGCCTCCCATAACCCGAGTTTAAAGGGAAACTAACCGGCAAGCCATTTCTGAAATGTTGGGGTCCTAAAAACACATTCCCTCTAGCCCCGACCACCAGTTAGAAAAAACAAGAACTCTTCTCTTGACTTCCAGGCACGAACGCCCACAAGACTGGTCGGACAATTCGGGCACCTGGCGCCGTGTGTCCGGACATGGGCTCAAACCCCCGATACCGCAAAACTGGTCCAAGCCCGAAAAGTCACGCTCTCTCGTCAATTCAGGAAGTGAGTGCCTCCCTCAAGATTCCAACAGGAAAACATGGGTTAGAGTGCAACCAACAAAAAAGAGGGTTGCAAGGTGGAAAAAGCAAAACATGTGTTTTTCCTCTTTGTGTTTGCTTCTTCTCATTTTTTAAAGGGTAGTTTCTTCGAATTCCCTTCAGCATGGGGTGCCTTGCCCCCCCACCAACTTATGGTTATTTTTGGAAAAAACCTGGGTTTCCATGGTAAATACCGATCCCTTTTTTAGCAGAGGGTCGACAAATTATGCCATTAAAAAATGAAGGTATTTGGAGTAGGGTATGGTAACCCATTTTCGTTCTCATGAGAAGACTGGAGGAATGAAATTGGGGACTCCCCCCATCCCACTTCCCCAGAAAGTAGCGGGCATGACAGAATCACTTAGATAATGCTAACCCCGGATAAATAAACCCCTGGTTGATTTATAGGGGGGTGTCCCCTTTTAGTAAGGATTCAGGCCACTTTTGGAGGGAACACCCGCTAAGAAATGGGACGGGTTTATTAATCCTGGGTCAGAATGTATATTATATTGCTTGCTTCACTTTGAGTCACTGGAAAAATTGGTATGTAACATGTATCCTAAGTCTACCCCAGATTGTAGGTATTCGCCATTTTTCGTCACCGCTCCTTCCCCCGCCGCCGCACACGCCGCACACACGTCGCGTCGCGCTCGCCGCTTTTTGAGGTTCCGGGCAGGAGCCGCGCCATGGCGTCGGAGGCGGCCTTCGCCTGGGGCTTGGTGCGGTTCGCCATGGTCACGTCCTTGCCTCGAAACGCAAGGAGGGCACTTGACATTGGGCCCAGCCTACCCCCCGCCCACCTCCAAATGCCCAGTGTTTTGTTGTTGTTGTTTTTTTTTTTTTTTTTTTTTTTTTTTGTTTTTTTTTTTTTTTCTTTTCGAGTGGGTATTGATGGGAAAAAATAACGATCGGTGTTTCAAGCAAGGCAATTCTCGGTTGAAAGTTGGAAGGGGAGCAAAAATTGCTACAATAAGCAAACATGTAAAACATGTTTCCCAACAACAAACATGAGTTGGCTGGTCTGACCCGGTCATCGAGAAAATTCGGGGGAGGGGGGAAGGTTGGCATCCGAATTTTCGGATGGACATTGGGGTTGTCATCAACTAGGTCCTCCAGTTTTGGAGGTTCGAATAATTTTGGTACCCCATGTTTTCCTTCTTTGTCTATTTTAGTAGGGGAACCCAAACCGCAAAAAAGGGTACCCCCTACACCCACATGTAAACCCGCTACTAAAGAAGGAGGTATATTCCGTGGAAGGTTCTTCCAAAAAATACCAACTAAAAAAAGGCCGAATCGGTATTTGGAGGTGAATCGGGGGTTTTTGGAGTGGGAACCCAAAACCCCCCAAAAAAGGAACGGACAAAAGGGCACTGGACCTCGCCGAAGCCGGGGGGTCTTTGGTCGGTTGGGGTCTGGACATGAAATGAAACCTGGGGGGCCCCTTCCTGGTGGTGGGTCCTGAGTTTGAATTTCACCAAATACCCGGGCGGAATTGGCCGGTCTGACCCGGTCGTCAACAAATTCGGGGGGGGGGGGGTGGTTGGCATCCAAATTTTCGGATGGACAAACATGTTGGGGGGTTTTGGACTGGAGACTGGACTGGACTGAGGTGGACATTTGGGGCTTGATGAATCCACCACTTTCCAGGCTCCCGAATTGAACAATTTCACCAAATGCCCTTGGTCGACGTTGGAAGGGGAGCCACTGCAGTTAAGTGGTTGGATTTACCCCTGAACCACAATAAGCAAACATGTAAAATGTTTCCCAACAACAACCATGTAAATAAGGGAGGCCGCAGCTTTGGGGCGCTTGAGGGAGGGGTCTTCTTTTGAGGAATCCCCCCTACTTTTGGTGGTTGAAAGAACCAAAAGGACACAATTTGGACACTCTACCCCCTACTCCAAATACCCTCTTTTTCTATTGTATGATGTCGACCCTCTACTAAAGCCTGGGTTTCCATGGTAAATACCTCGAGGTATTTGCAATGCAAGCCCCATCGGTGTTTCGAAAAAAAATACAAACTAGAAAAAGGCCGGGAAATGGGGAGTACCTGGAGTCTCCCTAAGGACCCTTAATAAAAATGGTGGGTTCGCCAAAATTATGGTTGGTCATGGTCTTTTTGATTCGGGTCTAATTCGGGAGACTCCAGGTGGGTCCGATCCATCCGGCTTGGGCTCCCATTCGGAGGCGAAAGCTCCAGTGCGGGGCATTGGCTCTGCTTAGCCCCAGGACCCTCACCCCCGTAACCTCCAAATGCCAACTGGTTCAGTTTTAGGTTTTTTTTTTGGGGGGAGGGGAAAAACCGGGTTTTTCGGGGCAAATTCCTCCCTTTGTAGTAGAGCTCATGACATACCCTAAAAAACGTGGGTATTTGGAGTCGGGGGTAGAGTATCCAAATTGTGTCGGCGAGGGGTAGCGTTGCGAAGCAAGCGAAGGGTTGGCGAGGCAAGCTGGTGGCTGGATTTGTGGTAGTTCGCATGTTATAGAGGTAGGTTAGGTAGAGGTAGGTAGATTTGGATAGGTGAGTGTGGGGGTTTGGGATAGGTTGGGGTAGGTTAGGCGTTGGCGAGGCTAGGCAGCTTGGGCTGGGTAAGTGAGGTTTGTAGGATTGTAGATTGGTGAGTACTGCCTGGAGTCTCCATGACCCTTTAAAAATGGGTCCATGACCCCATTATTTTGGGTAATGACCCCATTTTTAAAGGGTCATGGGGACTTCAGGTGGAACGGTTACGGGGTGGTTCCCCCTCAAGAGCTCCGAACTCCTAGACAAACCCCCTACTCCAAATACCAACTTTTTATAGGGTAGTTGTTGGAAAAACTGGGTTTCCATGGTAAACAGTAAACACCTCCTTTTTTAGTAGAGGGTCAACATCATACCGAGAAAGAAAAAAAGCGGGTATCTGGAGTAGGGGGTATAATCTGCAAACTGTTGAGAGAAACACACCGCAGTCTTCATGACCCTTGAAGAAAGGGGGTCATGAGTCATGACCTGCTATGTTGGGCAAAGGACCCCAACCAAAACTGAATAACATTTAGTGTGTTAAACTCGGAAACCCCAAAATCCACTAAACCAACTAACAGATCTAAAAAGCACCCACGGCTGGGAGCCACCAAGACTGACGCCACTCTAGGACACTCGAGATGCCCCCCAACGTGACACCAACTAAAAAAAGGCCGGGTATTGGGTGGTTGCGGGGTATCTTTTTGACACACCCGCAAAGGCGGCCGAAAGGCGCCAACTGTTGGGGGAACAAGACTTGGGTCTTCCGCTGAAGTTGTACCCCCTACTCCAAATACCCAGCCTCTTGGGGGTATGATTTGTTGACCCTCTACTAAAAAAGGGATCGGTATTTACCATGGAAAACCAGGTTTTCCAAAAATACCCTAAACAAAGTGGGTATTTGGAGTAGGGGGTACTGGTAATCTATAAACCACTTATACGCCATGGGAAAACCAGGGCATCCTTTTTGCGTTGATTGAGTTCAAAGGGGAACCAAAAACCCCAAACAAGTTGAAAAAAAGGGGGCAGAATCCGCTGGCTGCAGCTGGGTATAGGTCCCCCGTACTTAGCCCTGCTGGGTGACACTCCCAACTGGATCTAACGAAGATGCCCCAGTCGCTCGGATCCGACGCACGTAGGAAAACCAGAGCAACAAACTGAGCCTCTTTTTTGCATGTCCGTCCCCTAGGGAGTCCAAAGGCCGTTTCGAGTGGCGGAGTTGCCGGAAAAAAAAAAAACACGGGCTGGCTGGCTTTTTTTCCGTGGCCTTTTTACCGGGGGGGTCGAACCCGGCCGTGGACTTAAAAGTGGCCGAAGTTACTTCAGAAGCTCCGGGCCTGGAAGCAAAAAGAAGAAATCAGTCATACCCCCGAAACCTCCAAGTACCCGGCCTTTTTTCAGGGTATGTTGTGCAAAACCCGGGTTTCTATGGCAAATACCGATCCTGTTTTTGGTAGAGGGTCGACATCATACCCTCTAAAAAGAGGGTATTTGGAGCAGGGGGGTAGATCCCCTTTGAAACCCAGAGGGGTGAATTTTCACACCTTGATATTTGTTTCCAAGTGGAAGCACACCAAGGACTCACAAAACGGCCAAACTTCCAAGTGGAAGCACACCAAGGACTCACAAAACGGCCAAACTTCCAAGTGGAAGCACAAGGACTCACAAAACGGCCAAACTTCCAAGTGGAAGCACACCAAGGACTCACAAAACGGCCAAACTTCCAAGTGGAAGCACACAAGGACTCACAAAACGGCCAAACTTCCAAGTGGAAGCACACCAAGGACTCACAAAACGGCCAAACTTCCAAGTGGAAGCACACCAAGGACTCACAAAACGGCCAAACTTCCAAGTGGAAGCACACCGAGGACTCACAAAACGGCCAAACTTCCAAGTGGAAGCACACCAAGGACTCACAAAACGGCCAAACTTCCAAGTGGAAGCACACCAAGGACTCACAAAACGGCCAAACTTCCAAGTGGAAGCACACCAAGGACTCACAAAACGGCCAAACTTCCAAGTGGAAGCACACCAAGGACTCACAAAACGGCCAAACTTCCAAGTGGAAGCACACCAAGGACTCACAAAACGGCCAAACTTCCAAGTGGAAGCACACCAAGGACTCACAAAACGGCCAAACTTCCAAGTGGAAGCACAAGGACTCACAAGGACTCACAAAACGGCCAAACTTCCAAGTGGAAGCACACCAAGGACTCACAAAACGGCCAAACTTCCAAGTGGAAGCACACCAAGGACTCACAAAACGGCCAAACTTCCAAGTGAAGCACAAGGACTCACAAAACGGCCAAACTTCCAAGTCCAAGACTCACAAAAACGGCCAAAAGTCAAGGACTTCCAAGTGGAAGCACACCAAGAACCACAAACGCCAAACTTCCAAGTGGAAGCACACCAAGGACTCACAAAACGGCCAAACTTCCAAGTGGAAGCACACCAAGGACTCACAAAACGGCCAAACTTCCATGTGGAAGCACACCAAGGACTCACAAAACGGCCAAACTTCCAAGTGGAAGCACCCAAGGACTCACAAAACGGCCAAACTTCCAAGTTCCAAGTTCACAAAACGGCCAAACTTCCAAGTGGAAGCACACCAAGGACTCACAAAACGGCCAAACTTCCAAGTGGAAGCACACCAAGGACTCACAAAACGGCCAAACTTCCAAGTGGAAGCACACCAAGGACTCACAAAACGGCCAAACTTCCAAGTGGAAGCACACCTCACGGCTCACAAAACGGCTTCCCTCACTTCTCTTCCCTTTTCATGGCTCCACCGCGAATGGACTGCTGATTGGATGTCTTTTTGGAGTCGGAGCTCCCTTGAAGTCGCGCTCATAATCCAAAAGAGCCCGCGACATTTTCTAGGTTCCCGTGCTAAGAAACACACCTTGCTGAAATGCACTCCAATCACCGAATCTTGCCCCTACCACTACCCGCCTTTTGAGGGGTATGATTTGTCGCCCCCCTCTACTAAAAAAGGGATCGGTATTTACCACGGAAAGCCAGGTTTTTCCAGAAATACCCCACAAAAGTGGGTATTTGGAGTAGGGGGCACCTTGCCGAAATGCACTCCAATCACCAAATATCTTCCCCCTACACCCACTACCCGCCTTTTTAAGGGTATGATGTCGACCCCTTGCTGAACAGGAAGTATTTATAATGGAAAACCATGTTTTTCGTTGAACAACAATCAACACAAAGTATGTGGAGTAGGGGGCTTGGCCAACTTCCGGCGGAACTGTTTGGAGGCTTCGTAGATGGCTGGAAACCTACCCGGTACTAGTCCCGGTATAAACCAACTCCAACAAAGGTACCCGAAACACAAACGCCCACACACACACACAGGCATATATGTTCCAGGCCGTGGACCCCCCCCCCCCCCCCCCCCCCCCCCCCCCCGTGGGGGTGGGGTGGGTGGGTGGTGGGGTGGTGGTGGGGTTGGGGGGGGGTGGTTGGGTGGGGTGGTGGGGTGGTGGGGTGGTGGGGTGGTGGGGTGGTTGGGTGGTTGGGTGGTTGGGTGGTTGGGTGGTTGGGTGGTTGGGTGGTTGGGTGTGGTTCGGAGTTGGTTTAGGCTTGGTGGGTTGGTTTAGGGTTGGTTCAGGGTTGGTTCAGGGTTGGTTTGCGGTGGGTTTCGGGTGGGTTTGGGTTTTGGGTTGATTTAGGCTTAGGGTTGGGGTTAAGGAGGGGTTGCAGGGTGGTTTGGTTTAGGGTAGGATGTTGCGAGAGGTGCGGGGGTGTTGGTTCACGGGGTGAAAGGGGGTCTGGGACCGAAGCTGCAGGGCTCGCACGGTACTGGACAGCATCCCCAGCATTGCCAGCATCATCCCCAAGATGCGGATGATGCGGGGGAATGGGGGGACCATTCCATTGGGGGGGGGGGGGTACGTGGCCCAGGGACTGGTACATATATACGTGTATATATATATATATATATATGTATCAGACTGAAAACGTGGCAAAGGAGTCTACAACTCTACCACTGTCTCAACATACAAACTGGGGAACCCATGGAACCCGGGCCCTAAACTGCGGAGAGATTGGGTGACGAGCTCTAAGCTATGAACTGCGGGTCGAACTTTCCATGTCTTAGAAGAAGGGACCCCAAAATGGCGGTTGTCCTGTTGGTTTCCCTGTACCAACCCCCACAAAATGGATGGCAACAACGACAGACCCAGGTATGTGGGCTTGCCTTTGAATCAAACCAACTAAAGGTACCGAGCTTCAAAGAAGCAACCCGAACTCTCGTGAAAAAGTGTCCCAGGCCAGTTTCCTCAGAGGGCGCCGCGCCAGTGGGCCCTCTTGGCTTTTCCTTAAGCCCACCCCTTACGCCGAATACCCACTTCTTTTAGGGTATGATTTGTCGACTCTCTACTAAAAAAGGTATGTTTTTTTCCAAGGAAACCAAGGGTTTTCACAAAACACCCATTAAAAAAGCCGGGAAGCCGGGAATTTGGAGGTGAATCGGGGGCTATGTGTTGCCTGGATCTGGGCAGGGTCGATCCCATATGCTCACATCTGTTAAAGAGCAAAAACACACACAGAAACACACCATGATTGGGGTTAGGCTCATAGAATGTTTTGGTTTTATTGTTTGCTTCACATGGAGTCACTTTTAAAATGTAAAATGTATCCTAAGTCGACCCCAAACACAACTGTCCGAACAACTCCCTCAGCGCCCTTTCCCACGTTGCGGCTTTGGATATGTGTCGAAAAATTAAAGAGACCCCAAACACTTGCTGCGAACTGGGGAGACCCTAATTTCTTTTCGGTGTGCTTCTTTGGTTCGCCTTGATAAAAAGGAGAAAAGGCTCCAAGCTTCTCTCATTCGCAAACCCATGTGGTTTACCCGAAGCAGCTTTTGTCCCTTCTCAAATTAGGGGGTCCTCCTAGGTGGTTTCCTTTTGGTTCCCTTGAAAGCCGGTGAAACAGGGATCCCCCTACTTGGAGACAGACCCGAAGCAACCGTCCTGACACGATAAAGGGTGTCAAAATATCTCAAAGTTGTGCTTTTTCAGTTGGTGTCCCCTTTAAACCAACCCAGAAACATGTACCCCTTAAACATGGACATGCATCCAACAATTATAGGGCTCCACAGTGATGCCGGGGCCATAACCCATCTTTAGTTTGAGGGTCCAGGTACCCTCGAAAAAGAGAGAGGGAGGGAGAGAGAAAGAGTGAGAGAGAGAGAGATACGCCAGGTTTTCATTTTTCGGCTACCCCCAGGGTAGACTTAAACCCAGGGCTGGTTCATTCAAAGTGGAGCCCTGACTTCCATTTGCTTAAGCCTACTGCAAAAAATAACTATGTCCAGTGGTGAAATCGATTCGCTTTAAAAGCAGCAGGGGATATACAAATCATTCTCGGAAATGGAAGTCTTCCATTTGCTTAAGCCCCCTGGAAAAAAAGAACATATGTCCAATATCGATTCCCTTTCAGGCCAACCGGGGAAAACGGCAAACTTGGAAGAAGTCTACCTGGAGTCTCCATGACCCGAAATAAAAATGGGTCCATGACCAACCACTATTTTGGGTCATGACCAACCATTTTTTCAGGGTCCTTAGGGAGACTCCAGGTACCTTGGGATCAAAAAGTCCAAACAACAAAAAACCCGAGCCGGCGGTCGCCCGCTCCGACTCCGAATCCCGAGCCGGCGGTCGCACCCACTTTGATCATCCGCTTCAGCAAGGCGCCCTTCAACGCCTGGCGACTTGCCGCGCCCCTGGGCCCAAATGGAGGTGTCCCAAAACAAAAATCCAACATCATATGCTTACCCCTTAAAACTCCAAGCCCTGGGGAAGTTAATCTTTTACAGACATATAGCCCATGTTACCCAAAAAGTTGAAAAGTTGTGTTTTTAAGAGGTAAGTATGTATGGATATATATATATATATATAATATATATATATACCTGGAAACCCATATGTGATGTTTTTTGTTTCTTTCTTTTTTCTCTTATGTCCACACGGCTTGGGCCACCAAAAAATGAACATACGGTGATTTACGGCTTCGTGTCAACAAATTTGTTGACAAAAATACAGGCTGCATACGGCACAATACGGCCACCGGCCAGCCAAAAATGACCATACGGGAAAAACGATCCAAATACGGGTTCCATGCGAAAAACAATGGCCATACGGCTTTCCAGGTAGACATATATATATATATATCTGGAGTCTCCTGACCCTTTACAAATGGTTGGTCATTACCCAAAATAATTGGGTCATGACCCCATTTTTAAAAGGGTTATGGGGACTCCAGGTATACATAAACCTCCCCCCCTCGTGGACCCTGGTTTTAGTGCCGTTTGGGGATGATAAATCTAGAGTCTAGAGATGATACTCCTCGATGTTTCCCATTTTTGGGCCCCCACCGCCTCAGAATTTGGAGTCCTCTGAAATGTCCCAATTGATATCCTTTCCGAATAGGAGTTTGCTTCAAATGCATTTGGAATTGCGAATAGAATTGAGCAAGGTATAGGTTTCCAAAGTTGCTTTATGTTCATTGAGAATTTAAGTAAACAAATCCTTTTCAAATAGGAGTTAAACTATAACGTACATACAGTATCTGGGAAAGGGACATGGGGCCTTTTGTGCATTGGAGTGGTGTGAAGTAATACTTGTGCCGTGTTTTAGTTGCACCCCCCCTCCAAAACCAAATATATATATATATATGTATATATATATATATAGTGGTTTCCTGTTGGTTTCCCTTTAAAACCACAAACCAAAGGGCAGCCCAAGACGAGAACACCACCCAAAGGAGAAACCTTGCTGCAAATAGAGAGGGCCTAAACACGAGCCCCAGCAAACTTGTGGGATCCATGCAGCTCACCGCCCCTTTGGGGCTCTTGTTCCATGCTGCCATGGGGCACGGCAAACGGAATTCGCCAGAGAGGTGAAATAGAAGAACAAACAGAGGAAACAAAAAAACAAGAAAAAGCAAGACAAATGCGATAAAAACAGGACTGATGCTCAGGGATGTTGCTATACAACAGCATAAATCAAGACATGAGGAAACATGAAAAGAACATGTATGTATCCAATCCAAAAGAAATGAGACCAAATGTAGATAAACTGAACGGTTTAAGATGTTTTAAGAAACTTACACAAGATGAACATTCAGAACGAAGCACCTGGAACCAGCCTGCCCCGTGTTTTCCAACTTTCACAAACGCCCAGGAACGGACCACTGGGATTTTTTTTCACCGTCCTGAGGACCACGGGGGTGGATCCAATACTATTTGGACGGGGTAGCCTTAGTTGATGCAGCCAATGTTTAAAGTCACCCCCTCCAGATACCCGCTTCTGTTTAGGCTGTTAAAAAAAAAAGGATTCCATGGGAAATACTGATCCCTTTTTTAGTAGGTTGACATCATACCCTAAACAACGTGGGTATTTGGAGTAGGGGGAAGCATGATTCTGATCACGACTTGAATCGGTTTTACAGAATCCACCAAATCGCCATTCGAGTGTTTGCATGGGCAATGGTAAATATTCACTGCAGTTTACTCTAAAGGGCGCACGCCATTTCTTTGAGGACACCCATCCCAGTGACTCCCTTCCTGAGACTGGAATCAAGTCTGCACTTTTTTGCCACTAGCATGGACTCAGGGAGCGAGATATCCGCTCACATCCCGCGGGCATCTCACGCAGAAATCTTTTCCAGTGGCACACAAAAAAACAAAAGGCGGGCTTGTCTCTTCGGATTCGAAACCCGGTGAAAAGTTTGGCCGCACTTGGATTTCGATTGGCAGAACCCCAAAAGGGTAGCGCAGAAGCGCAAAGTTCCTGGAGTCTCCGTGACCCTTGAAACATGGTTGGTCATTACCCCCCCCCAAAAAAAAGAAGAAGAAGTCATGACCCAATTTTTACAGGGTCATGGAGACTCGTACCATTCGTACCCTCTTATTTGTGGTTTCGAAGGAACAACACAAGGAACACCCACCCATTTTAGTGGTCTGAGTCCTCAAAAGAGCAGAGCCAATTCCTGTTGAGTTACGTTATAGGAATCTACCACACACCACTAGAAATGCCGCAAAAGGGGCCTGCTTATGAATCGAGTGTCCAAGTCTGGAGACTCCAGGTGTGACTTGTTCATTGGATCCTTTCCGACAAGCCCAAAACCAAGGGAGAGCCAATTAAGAAAGAAGCTGGTGAAGGATGGACGAATCTTGAATGGAGAAGGATGCTTGCAATTTGTCAACTTGAGCCAATTCCAAAAACGCAGCTCAAAAACGACACATACACACACACACCAATAATCCAAACTGAACTAGCCGTTGCCGGCTATTACTCTCACTTCCTTGGCGCTCGTGGTTTCACCTCCAAACTGATGACAAAGGGGTGTGGCTCAAAATTAAAAAGCTAGGGTTACGCAGGTTGTAGGCTTTGGTTCCACAGCCAAATGCAACTGTGCAGCCGTGCCCTTCTTTTAACACACAACCAAAGGCGAGGTCCGTGTCACAAGCTCAGCAGCTCAGGAGTACCTGGTCGCTGTCCCCGCCGAGCTTTGGATCACCCCAGCTCACAACATGTCCAGATTCAAGAAGGGCGGCAAAAGCATGGGAAGTTGCTTGGATGTGTTGGACCTTCCTCAGCTGCTCTTGTACCGGGCTGCTGTCTCCTCCATGTGCTGGATCACCCCAGGTCACGACATCGCCAAATTCACGAATGGCAGCAAAAGCACCGCAGGCAGCTGCTTGGATGCTCTGGACGTGCCTCAGCTGCTCTTGTACTGGGGTGCTGTCTCCTCCACATGCCAGATCACCCCAGGTCACGACATCGCCAGATTCCATAATGGCTGCAAAAGCACCCCCGGCAGCTGCTTGGATGCTCTGGATGTTCCTCAGCTGCTCTTGCACCTGGCTGCTGTCTCCGCCAAAGCGTGGATTGCCCCAGGTCACAACAGCCCCACTTTCAAGAATGGCTGCAAAAGCACCATTGGCAGTTGCTTGGATGTGCTGGACGTTCCTGAGCTGCTCTTGCACCTGGCTGCTATCTCCGCCACTTTCTGGATCACCCCAAGTCACAACAGCCCCACATTCAAAAATGGCTGCAAAAGCACCATCAGTTGCTTGGATGTGCTGGACGTTCCTCAGCTGCTCCTGCGCATGGCTATTATCTCCGCCAAGCTTTGGATCACCCCAGGTCACAACTGCCCCAGATTCAAGAATGGCAGCAAAAGCACCATCAGTTGCTTGGATGCACTTGACGTTCCGCAGCTGCTGCTGCACCAGGCTGCTGTCTCCGCCGTATCGATGCTGACCCCAGGTCACAACTGCCCCAGATTCAAGAATGGCTGCAAAAGCACCGATAGTTGCTTGGATGTGCTGCACGTTCCTGAGCTGATCTTGCACCTGGCTGCTGTCTCCGCCAAAGCGTGGATTGCCCCAGGTCACAACAGCCCCGGATTCAAGAATGGCAGCGAAAGCACGCCGAGTTGCTTGAATGTAATGGACGTTCCTCAGCTGCTCTTGCACATAGCTACTGTCTCCGCCATCTCCTGGATCACCCCAGGTTACGACAGCCCCATTTTCAAGAATGGCAGCAAAAGCACCTACAGTTGCTTGGACATGCTGGACGCTCCTGAGCTGATCTTGCACCTGACTGCTGTCTCCGCCGTGTCCTGGGTCACCCCACGTCATCAGCTCGTCCCCTTTGCCCTGAAAAGCGAAGGCCGTGTTTGTGGCAGCTAGTATGCCAAGCTGCGCAACCGCAGTGACCGCGTCCCCATGTCGCAGCCCAGCCTCACTCACCTAGGCTGGAATTAGGACCCCAGCAAAAGATTATCTTGTTTGCCTGGTGAGTGGAAAACAAAGGGACCTCAAAAAAGCAAAAAAACAAATGGAGCTAATTCTGGGGAAGTCACAGTGGCCGCCACATCGAGCTGCCGACCTTCCGCGGTCAGCTTCAAGCGGCGCTGGAAATGCTGCTGCACTGCAGCCTTCAGCTCCCTGACCAGCGTCGCTGCTGAGACGTCAAAGGAGCAGCCCTCGCCACTGGGCAAGTGAACCTCCAGCCTCATGGCGGAAGCTTTCTATGAAGTAAAGTACCAAACACGCTGAGACACAAGCACGTGGCTGCGGGTCAAAAAACCGGAATTCCAAAGGTTGGCACATGGAACCAAGGACTACACCAGCGGTCCCCGAGTGGCGGTTCAATTTTGACCACTCTGAACTTTCAGAGTTGGAACCACCTCGGCTGGACATGAATCCGCACGGCGAAAAGCCTGTCCACCAAGCTCGGCTTAGGACCCTAGGCACCAAAACACGTTTTTTTGCCTGGTGAGTGGAAAACCATGAGACGGGACCAACCAAAAAATCGAAAAAAAGGGGGAGCTAATTCTGGGGAAGCTGTTTCGTCTCTCTATATAAAACCAAAATTTTCCCCCCCTCCCTTCCCCCACCCCCGCCCCCATCCGAAGGGTCCCTAATGAAAAAGGTCACAGATCCAAAGCCTTCAGAGCTCAAGACGGTCTTTGAATCGGCTCTCTAAAGCTCTTCCGCTGAGGCCAACAAAAACCACCGCATACGAAGACCTCATAAGACACACTCAGTCATGAGCAACAGCAACGTAGTTTTGAAAAAAATGGCTCCATCTTAGAACTGGCTGGAGTCTCCACCCTCAAAAACTGGTTGGGTCCACTAGAATCTAGGTCCTCCAGATTTCAGAGCTTAGAATAAGGGAAAATACCCGAGTTGTTTTTCTTTTTTCTGTAGTCTATTTTAGGGGAACCCTCCCAACCCAAAAAGGGTACCAGTGGGCATAGCTGGGGGTCCGCCCAAAGAATTTTGGGTCATCTACCCGACTCGAAGGGTCCCATTCGGGGACTCATCAGGTGCCAGGGTCCCCATGAATAGCTTCCCCGAAGGATGTTCGAAACAAAGCCCGTGCATCCATTTACCTTACCCCTTACCCCTTAAAACTCCAAGCCCTGGGGAAGTTAATCTTTTACAGACATATAGCCCATGTTACCCAAAAAGTTGAAAAGTTGTGTTCTTAAGAGGTAAGACCCCCTACTCCACATACCCGGCTGCTTTTTAGGGTATTTTTTTTTAAAAAATATGGGTTTCCATGGCAAATACCTCCTTTTTTGGTGGAGGGCCGACATCATGCCCTGGAAAAAGAGGGTGTTTGGAGTGGGGGGTAAAGTCAGCTTCCCTCTACTGGGTGGTTTGGATTGGGTGTTTGGGTTAAGGGGTAGAGGCTCGACATCACACCAACAAAAAAAAGAGGGGTATGGTGGCAGGTTACCCGGGTAAGGAGGGTCGCGCTGACTGTTTCTTCAGGGGGGCGGATCCAAATACCCGGACCCTCAAACCACCAACTTGAAAATGGGTTGCCCTCTAAAATGGTCCAGGAAGTTTGCAGGTCCAACCAAAGGGCGCCAAGGCGAGCGACCGAGTCATAATCAAAACCTGAGACAAAAATGGTGAACCCAGAACCATGTAAGGAACTGAAAAGGCGGCCGCAACTATTTCCGGCTGGGATTGCCCCTTACTAATCTTCATCTACCGGGGTTTGATTGTGACTCTTTTTCTAAGGTATTTTTGGCAAAACCTGGTTTTCCATGCTAAATACCTCTCCCTTTTTTAGTAGAGGGTCGACAAATCATACCAACTAAAATAAGCCGGGTATCCGGAGCCGGGGGCACGCTCAACCCTCCCAGTTTTAAGGCATCCTTTTAGTGGTTCACAACAGGTTGCTGCCTCAAACGGGTGCTTGTGTGTTTCCTTGGTTCAATGGGTATTGCCTGGTTGCGGCCGACCCATTCCTCTCTCCGCCCGAAAACCGCCGAGAGAAAAAAGAAAAAAGAAAAAAAAGGAAAAACAAACGTTTAAAAAAAAAAAAGCCGGAAAGAAGAAGCAGAAAAACAAAAAAAAACTAAAACGCGCGCCAACGGATGATCCCCGCCTCGAGCTCTACTCCCAACAGTTCCGAGGCCTGCCGAGCCCAAGCCGATCCACCCGTAACCAACCCAAGGCCTTGTTCTACCTGGAGTCTCCCTAAGGACCCTTAAAAAGTGGTTGGTCAGACTACCCCAAAATAATGGTTGGTCTTGGACCCATTTGTACTTGTTATTTTTTGGGGGGGGGACAACCTGGGCTTTTCGAGGTAAAGACCTCCGTTTTTGGTAGGTCGACATGATAGCAACTGAAAAAAACGGCCGGGTCTTCCGTACCAAAACATGGGCACCAAACATTTGGTAGCTGGACCCTCAAAGCCGCAAAAAACCAGGGGACCATTTTCGCTAGACCCTCCAGTTTTGGAGGTTAGAATAAGTTGGTACCCACTTTTTTTTTGTGTAGTCTCGTTTAGTAGGGGACCCGCCCAACCAAAAAGAAACGGTAAAAAGGCACTTCTGGGAGACCTAGTTTATTCACCCACCGAAGTTGTGGTTTGCCTCTACATGGGTCAGTCGCCTGGGCGCCCTTTCGTTGGACCTGCAAAAAACCTGGACCCTCAAACTGGCCCGACTTACAAGGGACAATTCCAATTTTTTGGGCAGCTTTTTTTAGGTGATTGTTTGAGGGTGCAGGTACACCTTGCCCAGTGCTTCCGGCTACCTGTATAGCTGGTAACCAGCTTGGTTACCTACTATATTGGCAACCGGCTGGTAGTTCCCAGAACCACAAAAGTCTGCGCAATAGAGGGCAGAGCCGTGAAACAGAGCGCTGGAACCGTGAAATAGGCGAATGAAACTATGAATTGGGAGGCCGGAACCGTGAAATTGGTCACCAGGGGGCAGTTACCTGCCATACAGGTAACCAGGAAGCGCTGGGTTGGTGGAACCAAAGACTAAAACCATACCCCCTACTCCAAATACCCAAGTTTTTTAGGGTATGTTTTGAAAACCCTAGGTTTCCGTGACAAATACCTCCTTTTTTAGTAGAGGGTCGACATCATACCCTAGAAAAAGAGGGCATTGGAGTAGGGGGTAGTGTAATTCTTGAAGCAACCAGCCGCTCCCTTTGAAGGCAAGCGGGGAGAACATAGTCGAAAGGTTCATTCCCCATTCTATTATCCCATTGATCCCATTAGACACCGCCAATCTTCCCAATGGATTTGCCCATTTCGAAAAGAAGGATCCCTGCCCCCTGCTCCAAATACCTTTTTTTTTTTTTTTGGGGGGGGGGGGGATAATGTCGACCCTCTACTAAAAAAATATACATTTGCCATGGAAAACCAGGTTTTCTCAAAAATACACCAGGAAAAACGAGCCAAATTGGGTATTTGGAGTAGGGGGAACTTACTATTTACCACTTAAATGGTCCAAACCCAAAGAGTGACTCAAGTCCATGAACTGAGGGAGTGCTGGTAAAGTCACCCAGGCTCCTGGAGCAAACAACAACTATGTCCAGTAGTGCAATCGACTCCCTTTACACCGACTGGGAGACGTCAACAATATTCATTTCAGCAAATGGAAGCAAATGGTTGGTAGACATACCCCCGACTGCAAATACCCGCCTTCTTTTTGGGTATCATGTCGACCCTCTACTAAAAAAGGAGGTATTTACCTCCAACGAATCCGCAAAGAATCACATCCTCGCCTGACACACGCGAGAGAGCGAGATTACCTCCTGCTCCAAATACCTTCTTTTGTACGGTATTGTTTGATCAACCTGGTGTTTGTTTGTAGAGGGTCGACGTCATACCCTAAAAAAAGTGGGTATTGGGTGTACCAGGTGGGGCCTACCCCGCCGAAAGATTCTCCCAACCAAAAAAAAAAGTTTTCAGGGTGGAGGTTTTAAAGGTTTGGAGAGGATCCCCTAGTGTTTCCTCACTTCCTGAATAGATTGGCCAGAAAAAGAAACTTTCGAGCCTGCACCCTCAAACAAGGTAGCAGGCTGTCTTGCCGCCCTTGCAAATATGCAATTTACATGTTGAACATTCCCTGCGTTGTATCGTATTTTGGGGGCTTCTGGCAAAAAGTGCATGCCAAAACTCAAACCCCGCTGACGTAAATCAGTAAGCGCGTGAAAGACAACCGCCGTTTCCAAGTCACGAGATGTCACGAGCTTGCGCCAGTGAGCAAGCGTAGCTGATATACGAGTATACAGAGCAAGCCATCAACGCCACATGCTCCAAGAAAATCTGTGTGCACTGAGACCCCGCCTGCATGAGACAAGTCGGGAGTGTGAAGCCCGCCGTGAGCTCATGCATGTAGAACGTTAACATATGTGCCAGCATGTGCGCATGTAAGACTGCAGCGCGTGGACGGGCACATTAACATATGCGCCAGCATGTACGCAAGTAACCATGAAGCGCGTGAACGGGCACGTTAATCTATGTGCCAGCATGTGCGCATGTAAGCATGCAGCGCGTGGACAGGCGCGTTAACACGTGTGCCAGCATGTACGCAAGTAACCATGCAGCGCGTGGACGGGCACGTTAACATATGTGCCAGCATGTACGACACAGGCAGCCATGCATCCCGTGGACGGCCATTGCGACGCGTAAAAATTGGTAGGCCACAAATAGCAGTATATACATTTGCAAATTCCTGCACAAATTTCGCGGAAAAACGGACCGAAACCTCCGTTTCGGGCTCATGAATGACCAAACAAGAAACGTGAGTTTGCACGCAGGGTTTTTGAGAGTCCGCATCAAGAGAAGGGGAACAGGACAACGAAAAAGTAGCCAAAAATAGGGTTTGGGCGGCGGGTCAGCCGGCTGGCTCAAACAACCATACAACAAAAGGGAAAACGCACCAACCACAACTTTGGGTCGCAATAACCAATTGTTCAAGTTGGTCGTTCTTTCGGGTCCTTCGGCTACTTTTACACACACACACACACAACTAACCAAAGTCACGCTTTTACCGCTGTCCCGGTCTTCCTGGACCCCCAAAAGACCGGTTCCTTTTTCTGGCTTACCACTTCTTTTCCTGGTCAAAGGCAAGAAAAAGGAATCGGTCTTTTGGGGGTCCAGGGATGTTAGGACTGAACAACTTTTTGCCAACTTGATGTTTGAAACTTTTGCAGGTAATGGGTAAAGCTTTGTTTGGATTTAGGTGAAAGTACTGAACATTTACCTGTGCTTCTTAAGTATCCCAGGGAGTCCAAAGGCCTGAGTTACGGAGGCCGTTTAAACACGGAGGATTGTTTCCGGCCTTTTTACGGGGTGTCTACGTCCTTTTTACGGGCTTTTTACGGGGTGTTTACGGCCGTTGACAAAAGGCCTAAGTTACTCAGGCCGAGGAAGCTCTGGGTATACTTTATATTTTGCTTGGATGTTAGGGTCCAGGTTTCCACGACCCCCGGAGAAAAAAAAACAAAAAAAACTTATCCCCGCCTTCTTGACTGGGGCCTCATCTACCAGCTGCGCGGCATCTCCCGCCTTCAAGGCGCGAGGCGAGTCGTGTCGAGCGCTTCCCGTCGAAAAAAACCGACCTGGACCAGAGAACTAGGCCTGGAGTCTCCATGATCCTTTAAAATGAAACCCATATTTTTTTGACATGTTGTTGAACAAAAGCCGTAAAAACTGTATGGCCATTTTTTCGGTCAAAGGCGTATGACCAAAAAAAACAGCCATACGGGGTGCCAGGAGTCCATGACCCCATTATTTGGGTAATGACCAACCATTTTTGAAGGGTCCTTAGGGAGACTCCAGGTACCCTTCAACATGCGCGATTTCACAAACCGTGAGTTTGGGGCAACTCAGTTTTAAGGGAATCCCCCGACTCCAAATACCCGATGCCCTTTTTTAGGGCATCATGTCGACCCTCTACTAAAAAAGGGATCGGTAGTTACCTTGAAAAACCAGGTTTAAAAAAAAAAAAAAACAACTAGAAAATGTGGGTATTTGGAGTAGGGGGGTACCCTTCAAACTGGGATTTCACAAACCGTAATCTTGGGGCAACTGATTTTCAAGGGAATGTTGAGGGTGCAGGTATTTTCTTCAGGGTATGAGTTGTGGACCCTCTACTAAAAAAGCGATCGGAATTTACCCCGGAAAACCGTTCGGATTTCCCCAAAGCAGCTTTTATTGAGGACACCTGGACCCTTAAAAAAAAGCCTTAAAATGGGTTGCCCCAAAGCTATTGGGTGAAATCCAATTTTTCAGGGTGGTTTGAGGGTCCAGGTACCCCATTTTGGGGTTGGGGAAAAAGAAAACCACAAAGGATTTCAAAGTCCAATATGTTGGGTTCCATGGAAGCCAATTTGAGACAATGTGGGAGTTTGTCAAAAGAAACGATTCCCTTTTTCTATCAGCGTCGCTTCAGCCAAAAGAAACAACCCTTCAAACCTTCACTTTAAGCTTTCATGGGAGTGTTCTCAGAATGATTCGGACCCGGAAAGCCAAAAGCAAAGCCTTGCCAAAGCTGGGCTGCCCGTTTTCTGATCCCCGGCTAAAAAGTGACTAGCTTTTTTGTGGGTTAAATACAGAATCTACCACTAAACACAAACAGGATCGAAAAAGCTAAGGAACCGGATGGCTGGGAGAGCCACCAACAGGCATCCTTACATTATACACCTGAACATTGCCTTGTAAATGGTGGTTTCCAACTTTGTTTTGGTGTTGAAAAAGCCATGTTTCAAATGGGCAACCAAGAAAGGAGGTCCTATGGTTCCTTCCGGCCGAGGGTCTGGTCTGATTTGTTTGGGTTAAGTGCCGAGGGTCTCCAGGTCTCAAGTCTTGCAATGCAACTGGGGGATACTCCCTACTCCAAATACCTTTTTTTTAAGGGTATGATGTCGACCCTCCACTAGAAAAGGAGGTGTTTATCATGGAAACCCAGGCTTTTCCTAAACTACCCTTTAAAAAATGGGTATTTGGAGTAGGGGGCACTTTCGTTTTTTGTTTGGTTCCTGGGGCGAGGCCCCAAGAGAGACTTTTTTGTTTGGGTCAAGTACAGGCCAAAGACGGCTTTGGACCAAAAACGAAACGGGTTTCTAGGGGTACCTTCCATTTCCATTCTTTGCAGGGATCCGAATCTTTTCAGAAAACCAGCAGAATCCAAGGGGAAACAGCGATCGGCACCCCCATGGCTTGGCAGCGAGGGTTTCTGTGACAACAGCCTTCTCTGACGCCGCACTCATATGGCCCGTTAGGTAAGTGCCTTTTAAGTTGGTCGCAACCAGGTCATAAGTTGGCCATAACTTCGCTAACTTACCTACCTACTTGTAACCCACGTGATGTTGTTAGCTACGCGTAGCTACAGTAACTTTAGCTAACTTAAAACAGCTTGGTTGGCCATCATGTATATCATATCCAATCACACTCCGCCGACTCCCTTGCAAAAGCCAAGTTCGTGTCTGCAAATCCAATTTGAAGGTGAAGGTTCTCGGATCCCTAGAATGGCGAGGGCTTGCTGTCTTCCATTTGCTTACGTCCCCTGGAACAAAAAATAAGCAAAAACCTCAGCAAATGGAAGCTTTTGGTGTCCAATTCAAATTCCAAGCAGCAAAAGGGGGTCCAAATCCAGTTCCCTCCCGGGATTCGGTAAACTGGCATGTTTCTAGAGCCACCCAGGCCCTAAGACACTCAAAATGATGACCGTCACATTCCAACCCTTGGTATAGTAGCAACAAAAAGACATAGTTTGCAGCCCGCCAGAAAACTCAACAGAACCAAACAAAACTAAACTAACAAACCCACCCCGCACGATCTAGACACCATGCCCTGCACTTCCTTAGTGTACTCCAGTATTCACACTGCTTGGTGCAAAACAACTGGGCTGTCCTGAGATCCCCTATCAACAACAAAAAACTGATGGTAGCTTAGATAGAACCACCCCCACTAGACCAATCAACAATTCAACTCAACCACCTGGAGTCTCCATGACCCTTGATTTTGGGTAGTGGCCAACCATGTGTAAAGGGTCCTGAAAAAGACTCCAGGTAAACACCTGAGCCGGAAGCAGTGGTTCCGAAACGAGAGAATTACTTGGTTGACGTTGGAAGCGGAGCAAACATTTTAGAATCTTAGCAGTTTAGTGGATTTGGATTTCAACCACTAAACCACCATTAAAAAAAAGAAGGAAAAAACCACATGTTCACTCAGCTTCTTTCGTTGGGTGGTTTGGAGCGGAAGTCGAACCGGGTTTACCGCCTCGCTGAACTCGATGTTGCCCATCACCAGAATCCCCGCCACGATGCCAAAGACCTATTCGGCATTCGGCACCCGGCGTTTTTGCCCGGCACCCGAGACCACCGGTCTCGGTCGAAGTGCCCCCAACTCCAAAATCACCGGCCTTTTTGTGGGCTACCTGGAGTCTCCCTAAGGACCCTTTAAAAATGGGTCCAAGACCAACCATTGTTTTGGGTAATGACCCCATTTTTTAACGGTCATGGAGACTCCAGGTACATGCTTTTAGGCTAACAAGGCCTAATAGCTCCTGTTAGCTTGCAATAGATCCTGACAGCGATTCTATTTACAATCTACACACACACACACCCTACTCCAAACACTCACTTGTTTTAGGGCATCATGTCGACCCTCTACTAAAAAAGGGATCGGTATTTACCTTGAAAAGCCAATCGATTTTCCAAAAAATGCCAACTAGAAAAAGTTGGTATTTGGAGTAGGGGGTGGGGGGGGCTTTGTGGAGGAACCGAGGAATGGGGAGCACTTGTCTAGGTCCTCCAGTAGCGAGGTTAGCATAAAGGGAACCCGATTTGTTTCTGTAGTTTATTTTAGTAGGGGAACCCTCCCAACCAAAAAAAAGGGCGAGAAAGGGCACCTGGCTGGGGGACCTAGTTTTGTACAGGAGCCAAAAGAAAGGACATTTGGGCGAGAGGCATTTTTTGTAGCTCGGAACCCTCTAGACCCCATTCTTCACAACCATCGTTCTTTCCCCTGGGTTTTTGATGGTTTCCTGAAAAGATTCGGATCCCTGGAATGGGGAAACTACACCTAGAAACCCACGAATTGGCGGCATTGGGTTGATGACTTGGATGACAGGGGGTACCAAAATCCCATTTGGCGTCAAGAGGAACTGGGTTCAACCCCCCAAACCACCTCTTTTTAGGGCCACCTGAAAAAAAAAGAGGAAATTTGCCAATTTGGACAAAAAACATCCACCGACATGTGAAGGCGTTTCGTCCCGGACCCGATTCCGATTTTGAGAAACGGCCTGTACTTGACCCAAAAACAACGAAAAATCTTGGGGCCCCGCTCCGGGATCCCCGAAGACCGAAAGCGAAAGGACAAATGACCAACAAACTACATGTGATATACCCCCTACTCCAAATACCCGGCCTTTTTCTAGGGTTTTTTTGAAAAGCCTGGTTTTTCAAGATAGATACCTCCTTTTTTAGTAGAGGGTCGACATGATGCCCCAACAAAAGGGGGTATTTGGAGTCGGGGGTATTCTAAAACGCAAATGGGGACTTTGATCCCCGGCTAAAAATGACTAACTTTTTGTGGGATACATGGAAGCTCCCAATAAACCAGAGAGGCTAAGGAACCAGATGGCTGGCAGCCGCCCAGCTACCCTTCAGCCTGGTTTCAACCCAAACGGAAGACCACTGAAAAACAAGGGGGGCCCACCCAAAAGTCAGACAGGCCTGTCTAAAGGAGGCCTCTGGAAAGAGGCCTCGATTTGTCAAGAGGCCGTGTTTTGCAAACCCGGAAGTATCCATGGTAAGTGTCCACGCCTTTTCAAAGCCTCAAAAGCCCCTTATTCCTGGCCCAAAAAACATGGTTTTACATTGGCTGCATATGGTGGTGCATCACCCACGATATCGCTACATGTTGTCCTTTGTGCTCTGAAACAAAACAAGGCCTAGGCCTAGCAAAAGGCCTTGGAAGCCCAGGCATTGGGGTGGCTTAAAGGGGAAACCACTATGAGTCACAATCAAAACCGATCGGTACAAAAAGGGTGAACCCAGAACCATGCTTCAAGAATTAAGAAGCCGGAATTCCGCAACTATAACTCCAGCGACTGCCCCTTACGTACCGGATCATCTACTCGAATCGGTTTTGAGCACGTGGCTCCTATGATTTGGAAGGTCACACCATGAGCGTCCAGCCCAACCAACCTCGTGGCCATGGGTAAGAAAATTCCTGGACCCTCACCCTCAAAAACGGGAGTTCACCCTGTACTTTCGGGGCAGCATCCCATCGTTAAGGGTATACCCCCTACTCCACATACTCACTTTTTCCAGGGTGAAATTTTGAATAAGCTGTTGTTTTTTTAAAGGAACATACCTCCTTTTTTAGTAGAGGGTCGACATCACACCAACGACAAAAAGTGGGTATTGGGTGTGTATAAGGGGTAGTTTGAGGGTCCAGCTACCCTTTTGTTGTCTTAACGGGAAACCTATAGTGCCCTTGTGCCCCTACAGAAAAAGTACCCTTTTTCTATCCTCTCTACTGAAGGACCTAGTATATGTGGTTATTGCCCCAAGCAGGTTTCAAATTGTTCAGTGTCTCCAGGGAGAGGCCAGGGCCTCGCTGGTCGCGAGGCCCAACCGCGACAAAATCGTTTGCTGTCGACTCGATGACTTGATTCGGAGCCTAAGGAGCTCACTTGCCGAATCGAGTTCCAGGACTCAGACTACAATCTGGAGTTGTAAATAAACAGTTTAAACACTTTTTGGGCCAGTCCACTCAGGAAGTGAGGAATTCAGGGGGGCGGACGCGACCCCTAGAGATCCATGTTCCCTACTCTAAATACCAAAGCTTTGTTTAGTTGGTATCATGCTTTTACCATTGTCTAAAGAAAGATACCTTTAAACAAGTATTTGGAGTGCGGGGTCCATTTATGGTAACCGATGTCCCCTTTGTAGAGACTAGATAAATGGAATTGCGTCCCGGACCCCGCCCCCACCCCCTTCCCCTGAAGTCTGGCGATGAGGGTCCAGGAACAAATCTGCTTCCCTAAAGGAAAGGTCAACCTGGAGTCTCCATGACCCGTTAAAAATTGGGTTATGACCCCTTTATTTTGGGCAATGACCCAGGATCCAAGAGGCTGTTTTTCTCAAAATCGTAATCTCTCCATTTTTTTGACCGGGGATCTCCAAAGCAAACCAAGCTACCAGGGACCCTATTTTATGAGAAACGCCCACTCAGCTTTCCTTGAATTGATTGTTAGGATTGCTGGTTTGGAGAGGGTTCCCAACCGATGCAAACCACCAACTCAGGGTTGCCTGAACTAAACTCGGTCCACGTTCAACCCTAAACCTACCCCCTACTCCAAATACCCGCTTTTTCTAGGGTATCATGTCGACCCTCTACCAAAAAAGGAGGTATTTACCTTTGAAAACCAGGTTCCCAAAAATACCCTAGAAAAAGTGGGTATTTGGAGTAGGGGGTAGGGATTGTTTTTCCTGGTTCGTCCTTCACAAGGGCAAACATGTCTCAGGTCCATTTCAAACGTCCGACCGGACCCGATCCGTCCCCCGAAGAACATCAGATGCCCAGTGGATTTCCAGGGGAAAAAAGGATCGGCATCCTTTTTGGGTTGGTTGAGCTTAAACGGGATCCCAAAAAAGGGAAAAAGGGCGCCACTGGGCAAGTGGGTATCATCCCACTTTGTGGATTGGGTTGATGACTTGGATGACACCAAAATCCCATTTGGCGTCAAGAGGAACTGGGGTCAACCCCCCAAATCACCTCTTTTTAGGGCCACCTGAAAAAAAAAGAGGAAATTTGCCAATTTGGACAAAACATCCACCGACATGTGAAGGCGGTTCGTCCCGGACCCGATTCCGATTTTGAAAAAGGCAAGTTACTCAGGTTTTCGGTGGATTCCCATGGACAAAACAAGGGCAAGTTTTTGTTTGGTTGTTTCACGAGTTAGAAGCTATTAGGCCTTACTCGCGTCTATCTTTGGGGGGGATGGCTTTTCGGGGGGCGGGGTCCATCAACGAACTCATGATGATTGGTTTTAAATGGAAACCCCTCCAAAGGAGAAACCCACTGAGTGTCTGAGGTTACTTCCCTTCGGGGCTGGATGTCTACCTGAAGTCTTGACTCTTGAAACAAAATGGCCATTCAACACCCCAAATAAACATTCATTCAGCGGATGGACGAAATCCGTTCGCACCACTTTGAAACCGTGGTTGAAACCATTGTTTGTTGGCACTTCCAGGGGAATCGAATCATTCCAGGAAAGTCTCTATAGGGTTTGTCTCAAGTGGGCTAAACAAAATCTTGTGGGTAAATGGAAGCTCCCACTAAACCAACTAAAAATAGCTAAACACCTTTCTGGCACCGGATGCCTGGAAACCATCAAGTCAAGATAGGCTCACCCCAAAACCATGGGGGGTTTCTTGCTGGAGTCCCATTTTCTTTCAACCCCACTTGAGTCACAAGTCTAGGTCCTCCAGTAAAGTCAGGGTTTAGGGTACCCGCTTTTTTGGGGACGTCTATTTTAGGGGAACCCTCCCAACCAAAAAGGGGTACTAGTGCACTACTGCGAATCTGGCAATCAAACCCCGGTATTAACATGGTCTACCCAGCACCATGCAAAGAACTGCCAAAAAGGGGTAAAAGGCCAGCAGTGGGGGACCTAGATGGCCAGGGGGCATAACCTATGGCTCCATTTTGGGGTGGATGAACATCCATTTAACACCTATTTTGATGTTCACCAGGGGTACCTTGGGTTTTGACCCACAGCCAGATGGCGACTCACTAGGTACCTTATCCGCCCGTTACAACCCGAGGTTCCGTACAAAACGCACGCCTCCAGCTGAAGCTTGGAGTCGATGCCCAACCTCGGTGGGGGTCGGTGCCCCCGTAACCTCCAACTGCCCGGCTTTTTGTAGGGTATTGTTTGGGAAAAACCTGGGTTTTCATGGTAAATACCGCCTTGTTTAGTAGAGAGTCGACATCATCCTCAACAAAGTGGGTATTGGGTGTAAGGGGTGGTTTGAACGGTTGAGGAGGGGTGTCCCATTTTCCCTCCACAAGAACAGAGGTTCAACTCTCCAAAGCACCAATCAAGTGTTGTTTGATGACCTCTGGGAAAGTTTCCAACCCTGCTGCTGCTAAGAGTTGAACACTTCTCATTAAATTCGGAAACTAAACCAACTATACAACTAAAAACTTTAGGGGACGGCTGGGAACCACCAAGCTTGGTATGGGCTTGCAACAAGTTGTTTGCTTTCAGCCACCTACACAAATTGAAAGGACCAAACAAAACAACAACAAAAACACAAAAGACGTGCCAACAACAGGCAAGGACCCGTTTCCGGTGTTGGCCTCAGGCGACCCCGCAATTTCCTTCGAAAGGCCAGAATGGCATTGGCGTTTTTTCTCACCCTCAGGTGGCGATTTATTCGCGCTTACTCACTTGGTGAATCGAACATCCAAGCAGCGGGGGGGCAAATTTGACCATGGCTGACTTTTGAGAGTGGGGCCTGGAGTTGTGCAACTATGCTTTTCGCGTGTTTTCAATGTTCTGAAAGCTTTTGGCTGCGCAGATGGCAAAAATGCATTGTTTTGACCTGGAGGCTACTGCTCTGTGACATTGGAGGCTCTTGCTCTGTGACATCATCAAGATTGAGGTATTCATTGATTACTAACAAATCTATATATCTTTAATTATCTTCTTTGCCTTTAGCTCAAGATATTGTCAAATCAAATTAAATATATCACTTTTGTTATTTATCCTTATATCCAATTCATTCAATTTTATATAATCTATGTATCCCTTATTTCTATTAATAGTTCAAAGTTATATTATTCTAAATATGAGTCTTCAATTTGATATAATAATTTAGTATATGTTGTTGTTAGAATATGTGTTCTTTATAATTATACTACTCTCTATGTATTACACTAGTTCTAATTATATACTATATAATAATTATAGTATACTGAGTTAACCATGAATTAGTTGTGGTTGTTATTGTTTCTTGTTATTGACAACATTTAACTAAGCTAACTTCGAAGTATCTAAACAAAATAACAAATGTTGAAACCTAAAACATTGAAATTTACAACTCAATCATAGAATGTGTTATTCAATATCTTTATATAAATGATTTTATCTACAATGAATAAACTCAAGTAATCCATAATTAACTCTTCATCTTGTTTTCCGAACAATTATTAGACTTGAAAATTAAACAATGCATATGATCATGATTGTTTAATTAATTGCCAATCTCAATTTCAAATATTTTCCAGTACGTATGTTTATGTAACGATTTTAAAGGTTAACTTAATTATATACATATATTATATTTGACATATGCTAATTTGTGGTGTGCATTTTCGAAAGTATGCTTTGGTTTTATTCTATATATTCTTGTTTGTCATAATATTCATTAATATCTTATTTGCTTGAACAACTTTTATCATCTGATTGTTGATCGAATCTAAATCATAAGATGGGAGAAGGGCACCAGAGAAAGAGAGAGAGAGAGAGAGACAGATGGCTGTGCTTTGAGCTGGTGATGGCATATGTCTCCTTCTGTATGACCTCATCCCCAAAAGTGCCAAAAGAACATCGAGACAACAAAAAAAGCAACAGGATGGGGGGACACTTGAGAAGTGCTAGCTGACATGGCAGCAAACATACAGCAGACATTTCATTTGGAAACCTTTGCTGGTGACGGGGGCAGATGTGCTGTTCCTCAAGGAAAGTGCAAAAAACCTCGAGTTGTCCACCAAAAAAAACTATGTCAAAGATGCATGGGGCATAGGGTCTAAAAAATGTGTGTTTGTTTTGATAACTCGAGGTTATTTTTTGCATATTTCCCATATATGCAAAAAGCAGGCCCCATGACGACCCCTTCTGTAACTTTTCCCATGTGGTTGACATCTCATCTCTTTCAGCGGTTTCCCAAAATGGTCATCCCATGTAAATGACCCTTTTTCAACCCCCAATTGCCTCCTAGGCTTCCGTTTTGAGTTTTCTTTAAGGGTTCCTTAAAGTTCCCCAGGTGTTCCTAGGGTGTTTTACAGTACTTCTTTCTTGCTAAAGCACTTTTCCCGGGTTTTTCTTTTTTCCCGTCAATTTTTGAACCCGGGTGTTTGGCCAACACCTCTCCCCTTTTGTTCCGGGGACGTTGGGCCACTCCCGGGGCCCGGGCGACTGAAAGGCGTCCTTCAGCTCCTCGAAGAAGCGCGCGTCGTCGATGCCCGGCGCCTGCCGGATCGCAGCCAATGGGTCGTCGCGTGATCGATCCCCAGCCACGGAAAGGGTCACCCTCCCCCGAATTCCACCTAAGGGGGAGAGGGAAAGTTCTAGCTGGCTCTACCTCACACATTTACAACCCGGTGGAACCAAAAGAAAATGGCCTTTGTTTGGGATGGCTTCTCTTTACTGCTTCAACCAAGCCCGCAGCAACAGTGTCAGGGGTCGCTGGATTTCCCAGCGACCAAGTTGCAATTTCCTGGCGTTGTGTATTGAAACTGCCACTTTTGAAGGTTCCAAAAAAGGAAACGGGTGAAACCCTGACTTTGGATGCCAAATCCAATTCTGAAGTTCAGCTGGCGTTCCTTTCTTTCAGCACGCTTTTCCCACGCCGAGCTGGTCTTGCACCTGGCTGCTGTCTCCACCACGGCGTGGATCACCCCATGTCACAACAGCCCCAGATTCAAGCATGGCAGCAAAAGCACCGTGAGTTGCCTGGATGTGCTGGACGTGCATCAGCTCCTCTTGCACCTGGCTGCTGTCTCCGCCTTGTCTTGGATTGCCCCAGGTCACAACAGAACCAGATTCAAGAATAGCAGCGAACGCACCTACATTTGCTTGGATGTGCTGAACGTTTCTCAGCTGCTCTTGAACTTGGCTGCTATCTCCACCGCCAAGTGCAGAACCCCAGGTCACAACAGCGCCAGATTCAAGAATGGCTGCAAACGCACCACCGACAGTTGCTTGGATGCGCTGGACGTTCCTCAACTGGTCTTGCACATGGCTGCTGTCCCCGCCACATTCTGGATGGCCCCAGGTCAATACAGCCCCAGACTCAAGAATGGCTGCAAAAGCACCGCAAGTTGCTTGGATGCACTGGGCGTTCCGCAGCTGCTCTTGCACCTGGCTGCTGTCTCCGCCATACGCTGGATCACCCCAAGTGACAACATCCCCGGATTCAAGAATGGCAGCAAAAGCTCCTGCGGCAGTTGCTTGGATGTGTTGGACGTGCATCAGCTGTTCTTGCACCTCGCTGCTGTCTCCGCCTTCTCCTGCATTGCCCCAGGCCACAACAGCGCCAGATTCAAGAATGGCTGCAAACGCACCACCGACAGTTGCTTGGATGTGCTGGACGTTCCTCAACTGGTCTTGCACATGGCTGCTGTGCCCGCCATATTCTGGATGGCCCCAGGTCAATACAGCCCCAGACTCAAGAATGGCTGCAAAAGCACCGGAAGTTGCTTGGATGCACTGGACGTTCCTCAGCTGCTCTTGCACCTGGCTGCTGTCTCCGCCATACGCTGGATCACCCCAAGTGACAACATCCCCGGATTCAAGAATGGCAGCAAAAGCTCCTGCAGCAGTTGCTTGGATGTGTTGGACGTGCATCAGCTGTTCTTGCACCTCGCTGCTGTCTCCACCTTCTCCTGGATTGCCCCAGGCCACAACAGCCCCAGAGTCAAGAATGGCTGCAAAAGCACCCTCACTCACTTGAATGTGCTGGACGTTGCTCAGCTGCGCTTTCACATGACTTTTGTCTCCGCCAGAGTGTGGATCAGGCCACGCCACCATCTCGTCCCCGTGCCCATGCAAAGCAAACGCCTTGGTGGTGGCAGCCAGTTTGCCACGCTGCACAACCGCAGTCACAACGTCCCCATCTAAAAGCCCAGCCTTGCTCAGCGTGGCCGTCAAATCGAGCTGCCGGCTTTTCGCAGTGAGCTTCAAGCGGCGCTGGAAATGCTGCTGCGCTGCAGCCTTCAGCTCGCGGACGCATGTCTCCGGCGAGACTCCCACGGAGCAGCAGTCCCCACTGGGCAAGTAAATATCCACCTTCATGGCGCAGGGAGGTTCTGAACGCAAGTTGCGAATCTGAGACACAAACACATGTCAACCAGGGGCCTCAAATTGAAAGACTTGCTCCGGGAATCCCCAGCATTTGTGAGGCTTCAATCCTGGAGCATACCTTCCTTCGTTTCGGGGAACCCCATGGTGGTTTTCCTTCTGGTTTCCCTGCAAACCAGCCAAAAGGGGGCACCAAGAAAGACACACCCGCTGAAGTAAAACGACCTTCGAGTCTTGAATCGCCACCCTGTGAGGGCCCTCACTGTCTGACCGCTGCCCCAAGTTCCGCTGAAACCAAAGCGAGATCTGGCGGTTGGTTGCAGAGGACGACGGCACCAAATGCGCAAAGACAAGAACATCCTGGCTCGCCGGGTGAAGAATCTACAAAGAAGCTCTGCGGGAGGGCACAAAATATATATCCTACTCACCCTCCGGGCCCGTGGCATCCGACGGGGAAACGAGAAAAAGCCGGCATCCCACCAGCTCGGACGGGAAAACCATGGAAAAGACGGGGAAACGGGGACAAAAACACCGGCAACACCTTGACTCGGACGGGAAAACCATGGAAAACACACGTAAACATATGTTAAATGGTTGCTGACCAGGTCTGTTTAACTTAAGTATCTTCATTCTTGGTCTATGAATAGATCATGGGAAAGAAATAAGATGAGATTCAAAGCACAAACAAACAACAAGACCCTCAGCGATCCGTTTCAACGGGTCACCATCGAAAGCCGCCGGCATCTCCCTGAAAGCTTTCCCAGAGCTGATCTGAGACCCAGAAAGCTTTCAGCTTGGGAAAGAACAAAAAGAAAAAAAACTGGATCCACCCTCTGGGGTCGGATTCCAAAGGAATGGTCCTGAACTTGGAGCCTCAAACTACCCGGGTGGTTTCCCTTGTTTCAGGGTAGTTTGAGGGTCCAGGTCGTTTGCGGGTCCAGGCATATCCATTTGTCAAAGCTTTTCCCAGGCTCATGTAGGCCTGGATTCCAAGGAACCAAGCGCTACCAGATCCTTGGGTCATTGTTTGATGGGGGCAAGGAACTCGAGCCGGGGCGATTTTGGGACCCTGTGAATAGGAGGGTTTTCTAAAGCCCTTCAGAGAAGAAGGCGGCCACAATTTTAGGAGCAACGTGTGTTTAAGTTCCCGGAGCGGGGCGGGGGGTGCGCGAACATCCCAACCACCTCCAAGCAAAGCTGTGCTATAATGTGCTAAACATGATCCAGAACTTCCATTTGCTTAAGCCTTCTGGAAAAAGATATGTCCAGTAGTCATAGATTCCCTTTAAAACCAACAGGGGAAAATAAACATACCCCTTACACTCAATACCCACTTTTTTTAGGGCATCATGTCGACCCTCTACTAAAACAGGAGGTATTTAAGGGTTTCCCAAAAATACCCTAGAAAAAGCGGGTATTTGCAGTAGGGGGTATTCTAAAGCAAATGGAAGAGAACCAGTGAATCAAGTCCATCAACTCAACGAGTCGAAGCATCTGAAAGAAGTCCCTCAAAGGAAGACGTGGTAACCCCTGGCCGAAGGAAGCTTCAAGTTGGAGTTGTTCAGTATGGAGCCTATGTTTGTGGAAATCATCGGCAACTGAGTCTACCCCCGTAACCTCCAAATACCCTCTTTTTTAGGGTATGATGTCGACCCTCTACTAAAAAAGGGATCGGTATTTACCTTGAAAAAATAGTTTTTTTCAAACAAATACCCTAGAAAAAGTGGGTATTCGTAGTAGGGGGTAAGTAGACTAGTGCAATGTCAACTCATCCCAGACCCCCCACTGCCGAAGGGAAAAACACCTTGGCTCTTTTGTGGTGGCCCACCTAAAACAAAATTCCAAAAAGGGCTTGCAACCAAACTGGGTGTTTGTACCTGGAGTCTGCAGGACCTTGACAATAAATGGTCTACCCAAAATACCTCTCCACCCCTTTTGGAACAGTCAACTCCGTGAATTCATTCAGGTGTCTTTTGTGAGGCAATGGGTACATTTTTGGTGGCCAGGCCAAGGGCAAATTATGGAAGCCAAGGGAAAGTGACAGAAAACCGAAGAAAAGGCAAGAACCACGGGAAGAACCAAAGGAAAACCAGGGGAAACCCAAGAAGGACCATTGGACCCTCAAACTACCCTTAAAAATTGGAAACAAACTGCCCCAGAACCGTGGGGCAGTCACTCTTTTTGTTCAGAGTAGTTTGAGGGTCCAGGTCCTGATACTAGCCTGTCCATTCTGGTCCCCTGCTGAAAGCGACTAACCTGTCGCGGAAGAAAATTCGGAAACCCAACCAAGCCAACTAAAAGGATATCTATATATATATATAAAGCTACGTCGAACCGGATGGCTGGGAGCCACCAAGGCTAGACTCAATTCCTGAGTTGGTTGGCCAGACAAAGTTCATTTTTTGTTTTGGTGTACCAAAAACATGGCTTTCCCAAAATGTTACAAACCATGAATCGGACGAGTCGCTGGGACCCATTTAAGTCACTGGGATGTCAAAAAAATCGGAACGTCGAACAAATGAGTTTCTTAAGCAACCCAAAGCTACCCCTTACTCCAAATTACCCGCTTTTTTCGGGGTATCTTTTGAAAAACTCGGTTTTCCGTACGGTAAATGCCGATCCCTTTTTCAGTAGGTCGACAATGATACCCCAAAACAGGCATCGGGTATTTGGAGTCGGGGGCACAGTTCTGGGCGAGTTAAAGTTACGGGGGTTTGAGGCTATGAGGTTACGGGGGAGTTGAGTTTGCGGTCGATACGTGAGTTTGTTTTTTTTTTACAGCTAGTTTTTCAGGGTAAATACCTCCTTTTTTAGTAGAGGGTCGACATCATACCCAAAAAAAGAGGGTATTTGGAGGAGTAAGGGGGGTAGACTCAGTTTCTTCCCATCGGGCTGTTTGAGGGTAGACTGGGCGCCGCCCAAGCGGCCACCTCGCCCCGATGCCTTTGGCAGGCACCCACGGAGGTAGGCGTAGTCCTGACGAGCCCAGCCCTCACCGACCCTCGCAGGCAACCCACCAATTCGGCGCTGTTCTCGGATCCCCCGCTAAAAGTGACTAACTTTTAGTGGGTCAAACTCGGAAACCACCACTGAACACTAAAAGGATCTAAAAAGCTCTTGAACCGGATGACTGGGAGCCCCCCAGAACTGAAAGATGTGAGGCTTCCATTTGCGATCTCGTCTGGAAAAAAGTAGTGACAAATGGGAGCAAATGATCAATTGAATGGAGCCTTCAGGTCTTTCAATGGAGCCAAGGGAACATGACTGGCAGTAGGTTCGCGGTGGAAGCCTGGGATGTTGGCCTCGCTTTGCCTGTTTTCAGGGACCTGGAAGACGTGTGCTTCCTCCCGAAGTAAGTCGTAACACCTAAAGCAGAAATCAGAAATATCACCCAAAATTTGCGATGCATGCGATGATGTGGACCAAGCACAGGTTCGCGCCCCCGCAATCAAGCTAGGGCTTCGGAGCAGGCAATATGCATGACACGCGTAGTGCCCCTTGCCACCTGAAAAAAACCGAGTGAAGACAAGTCCGGGACGCATGCCGTGACGCATGCACGCAAAACAAGCTGCAAACCGAGTACGGAAGGTGCGCGTGATTGTCTGCTCTGGCCACATGTGGGCTCTCATTGGCGAGGGAGCCCAGGAGATCCCGGGGAACCCTTCGCTCTTTCCCTCTTGGTTTTGAGATCCGGTTCCCGCCCCTAACGGCTACCTACAAAACCCGATCGATTGGATCTGCTGAGCATCAAACGCGCCACCAGGATCTCGCCGACAGCGCGAGAAAACCGGCACGGCCAGGTTGCTTACGAATGTGTGCATCGAGGTTCATGCAAAGTACCAATGGGCTCATTTACCGAATGGACGAAACACCAATGGGTAAACAAGTTCATGCCGCATGCCTTGACTACCGTGGTTCGTTGCATACTCACTTCCTGAGTGGAGTGGCCAGAAAAAGTAACCAGTCGTTTTGTTTGCCACTAACATGGCAACCAACTTCCCAACAAGTGACGAGTCCCGGAACTCGATCGGGAGTGAGCATAGTATCGGGGGTTCCCAAATTCGGGAAGGGTTTTAACTCAATCAATAGCAGGACATGGGTGAGTGATTAAAAAAGGCTTCAGCAAGTAGTGGTCCTTGAAAATCGCAAGGGTGTCAATTCGATTTCCTTTGAATAGTGGTTGTCATGGTTCTGTGTTTGAAGATACCTGTATTTCTCTTGCTTTGAACGGACATCCCTCTTTAGCGTTCGTGCTCTCCAGGCGAACAACTCAGAAATTTCCCACTTAGACGCACTCAGGTTTTGTCCTTTGACCGAGGGACATCACGGGATCGTCTTTCTAAACTTCTGGAAGTCACAAGGCAACCCCTGCTTGCGCTCTTAAAACAGAACACTTTAAAGCTCCTATCAAGTAGCAGCGCCTTTTAGAAGAAAACAAATGTTTTTTACCCGCAAACGCAATTGACAGAACCCTAGCACTCATCGAAAGCCAACATCCTCACGACAAAACACCCCTGGGTTGCAAGGGCATGAATGGCAGTCAACAAGCAAACGATACTGTTGAAGCATAAGCCCAAACTCTTCTTCGCGAGAATTCGCAATTTGAATTGCCAATGTATGTATATATATATATATATATATGTATCTGCACATGGCATATATGTGTGTACATATGCCAGAGAAAGCCCACATATTCACCCCCCGTTAAAAAAAAGGTTGACCCAATTTGGATGATACAACTCTTTAGGTAAACAATGGTGGTTTGAAACCCAGGGTATATATATATATATGTATGTGTGTATATATATATATATGTACATGTATTATAGAATATACATACGCACTTGCTTGCCTCTGCACACCGATCTTTGGCCCCCAGCCTTGGGTTCCATGATTCCAAGGCCTCATTCTGGCGGCCGACGTTGCCCCAGTCGGACCCACATGCGGGTGTTTTTCTCTCGTTTATGCATGGTACCCTTCTTGGAGCGTGTTTAAAGGAGAACAAAAGGAAAAACCACAATTTTCAGGGTCCCCTATTTTGAGATAATCCCATGCGTCGTTTGCCCAAATGGGTGGTTTGTCCAGATAGAGAACCAATTCCTTCGATTGTGTACGATCCAACACAAAACCAGGCAGCTGGTCTGTTTTGAGGACAGCCTTGTATAGGAGCTCTAAGAACAGAAGGGGAACCGCATCAAAACCAGCTACTTGGATTGCCAGTTTGGAGATGTTGCGGGGGAGGCTTCCCATTTACAGCCAGGCAACCATTCTGGGGGAGGCAACCATTCTGGGGGAGGCTTCCCATTTACTACAACCCGAGGCTCAAAATCCCAATCCAAACCAATCCAAACCAACTAAGAATTACCTGAGGGGGGGAGGGTTTCAAACCCCCAATCCAACTCACCAACTCGGCATTTTCTTGACTCAAGGTTGTATTGAAACATAGAGCTACTATCTTGAAGTCTACCCCCCAAAACATGGCAAGAGGTTCTTCTGGCTTCCCGTTAAAGCTCATCGAAAAGGAAACTCTCAACAAAACAAACAAAAACAAAAAACTCGCCATGCCACCTTTTGCCTCTTTCGCGCTTTCGGGGTTTTCGGGCTTGGCGCCGTAACGGCGGTTGTCAAAACTCACAGAAAATGATGTTTTCGTGTCGCGGGTGGTCAAACATCGTTGGTACCCCCCCAAAAGATAATGGAAACAGGGACCTCAGACCACAAAGGCTCTCCGCCAGTGTTTGTTCTCCCCGGAATATGAACGAACATATTTCCAGTAGTGATACAGTTCCTGTAATATCAACAGGAAAAACAACAAATAACCTTACGCAAATGGAAGCCTGGTTGAATTTTGACCTATACTCAGGTGATGTCTTAGAGAAAGCGGCTACACCGCAGGGGCCTAACTCAAAAGGGCGCGGGTACCTAAAAAATGGTCCAACTATGACGCGTTCAAAATCCCAGCTGAATCACCCATACAGGCTGTAATGCTTGGGCAAAACTGCCGACAGGGTGGATGCGCTAAGTGCTGCAATATAAGTATGGCAAATACCTCCTTTTTTAGTAGAGGGTGGACATCATACCCTAAAGAAAGAGTTGGTATTTGGATGTTACGGGGGCACCTGCCTGAGCTGAGGTCAAGGCTTTTCAGCTCAGCGCTCTCCCGGGCTTCGATCAGCTGGAAGAAGATGTGGTAGTTCCTGGCGAAACAGCAGAGCCACTCCATGAGCCCACCTTGGGGCTTGGAGGGAGGAGAGAAGGAGAAGGAAGGGGAGCCCAAATAAAGCTAAAGGCCTTATGTAGGGCTTCGGGCTCCCTTCCCCCCCTCCCCCCCCAGCCCACATGACACCTGGAGTCTCCCTGAGGACCCTTTAAAGATGGTTGGTCATAACCGAAAAAATAACGGGGCATAACCCCGTTTTTACAGGGTCATGGAGACTCCAAGCACTTCCATGAGCAACAAAAAGAACCCGAACCAAGGAATCCCGGAGTAAAGGAAAGAACCCTGCGGTGAATCACAATCAAGACCCGGTATTAAAATTAAAATGCTTGGGGCTCAGAACCATGTAAAGAATTAGTCCCTTACTACCCTCCAAATAGCCGGGCTTTGATTGTGACGCACATGTCCAAGCAACACCAACTTGCCTGGTCCTGAATTTAGTGGCTAAAAAACACACACAACGAAAAACGCAAGGGGACGTCCGGGAACCGCCATCTTGCGGTGGATTAGCAAAAAGGATGTAAAACTCGCAAAAATCGACGGCCAGGGAGTGAATCTAAGCATCTAATGATTGAAAAGGTGGCACCTAGGAGATAGCACTCAAACACATGGCGATATCCAACCGAAGGATTCGCTGAACAAATCCGGGGCATTGGTGCGGCTGTGACGCAGATGCCCAGTCGATTTCCATGGGAAAAGAAGGCATCCTTTTGTGGTTGGCTGAGTCTAAAGAGAACCCTTCCCCCAAAAAAGGCAACAGGGTGCCACTGGGCAACAGAGATATGGGGGCATGGGGACCCCTCGAAAAGTGAACGAACTAAAACCAGGACACCCCCATGTAAATAAACAGGGGTTGTTAATCTGACGGGCACGGCCATATGTTTGCCCCCATATGAGATGTTTGCGACCTTTCCACAAGGAAGGATAACCTTCAACCGCAGGCCATGGGTCATTCAACTGAACCCCAACGGCTCTGGAACATGGAACCCTAGGACTAAAACCTGGGGTCCTTTGCCCAAATGCCAGCCCAGAGAGTCGGTAACCCTTCGCGAGTTTCCTTTCGTTTCTTTTTTTCAGGGTGGTTCCCTTGGGTTGATGAGTTCATGGCTCATATCCGCAGGGCTCGGGTAGGAAATGATCGCTCCCTTCCCCCAAGGAGTGAAGGATCCAAAACAGACACACCCATATCCACCCATATCCACCGAGACAAATTTTAATCCATTCCCACTATCAAATGGGGGTGACCACAAGATGGTCCTTGGATGGCAAGAAACATGTTTTTTTCGTGGGTTTTGGGGGGGCAATCGGTGGACTCTGGTCCAGGGCCAACAACTTGTAAGGGTCGTGATATCTTTTGGGTACCCACCAAACTCGGGGTCCCTTTAAAAGAAAAAATGGTCTTCCAGCACCCCCCCTCCGTGCCAGGTTTCATGACAATTGCTGGGAGGGTAGATGACCCCATTGTTGCTTGGTTGACGTTGGAAGGGGAGCAATAAAACAAAAGCAGTTAAGTGGTTGGATTTCAACCACTAAACCACAATAAGCAAAAATGTAAAATGGTTCCCAACAAGAACCATGGTTAGGGGTAGATCGCCTCTTTGCCCCCTGCAGGCTAAGCCCAACCTCTCGGATTCTCCGGGTATCAAAATAGGGATGTTCCCCCAAATGACTCGGCTGTGCTCCTAATTCCCCGAAAAGTCATGACTAAAACCCGGTACTAAAAACCCGGTATACCCAGAACCATGTCAACTAGGTTCTCCAGTAGAGAGGCTAGAACAAGGGTACCCTTTTTCTGTAGTCTATTTTTGGAAGGGAAACCCTCCCCCAAAAAAGTTGGTGAAAGGGCACTACTGGGGGACCTCGTCAACAAAAAGGGCGAGGCACCCATTTCTGGCAAGGGGATTCTCCGATTCTCCCTTACCAAGCTTCATCTACGGGTGGTGAGCAAGTGGCTCCTGTAAACTTGAGGCGTATTTGGGCTCCCTCCTCCCTCCCTCCCTTCCCCCAAGCCATGAGAAGGAGGCTGTGCTAACCAAAAGGCTGCCCCCGCCCCAAGGCCTTTCTTTGCTTCCTTGGCTGCATACTCGCGTCAGCTCCAGCAAGTAGTCTGTGACCTAGGCAGATTGAAAACCCGAGTAAGCAAAGGTTAGTAAGGGACAATCCCCTTGCCATCAACAGCTGCGGAGATCCGCCTTCTGGATTCTTGAAGCATCCCTAAGAGCCCCTGGGACCCTAAATTATGCGGGGGTTCCTTTCACCCCCAAAGGCCTCAAATGATGAGGTCCAGAGCCCCTTCGGTCAGAAGAGAAAGAACATTTTAAGGAGAAGACGAAGCCTCTAAATGAGGGCAGTGAGACACTCCCAAAGAAGGATGCCACACAATGGACTTGTCTTAAAACGAGGCCACCTCCAAAATGGGTGGTTGTCTCTTACTTTCCGAAACACCCCTAAGAACGGTTGCCCCCAAAAAGAACCAACAAGTGAACAGGCCATCCATCGAATCTGCTTGACTACAGTAGCTGATAGTTGCTCCCCCCAATATAAACCGGGCCCACTAAACAAACAGCTTGACATAATTTGGATCATGAAGCTCCTGAGCGGTAAATGTTCATACTGGCTCCTCCTTGTTTTAACATCAAAGTCACCCCTAAAGCGGTAGGTTACAGGCAAACTGCCGATTCCTTTTACTGACTTTGATACCCCCCAGAAACTGTAAGTAGGTCCTCCAGTAGAGAGGATAGAAAATGGTACCTTTTTTCTGTAGTCTAGTTTAGTAGGGGAACCCTCCCCCAAAAAAGTTGGTGAAAGGGCACTACTGGGGGACCCAGGTAAACAACTGACCACAGTTGTATTGACCCACTAAGTGGGGTGCAAAACGGAATCCGAAGTCAACATGCAAAAAGTCGAATACGTTGAGTGGCGCGGAAGCTACCACTAAACCAACGAAACACAACCAAAAACAAGCAACAACACAACGAAAAAACAACTAACAACAAGTCTGGACATGGATGGCAGCACTAAGTATAGTACACGAAGTACATGTCAAATACGCGCCTAGAAGTGGACTTGTCCTCCTTGTACTAGACTTGTCCTAGACCCCATATTGAACTCGGGTCCCTTCAGCTTCCAATCGGATTCGAGTCGCGCAGCTTCCGCAGGGGTCCGGATGCATTATTCACCTGAACATTGCAATTTGTTGTCTGGTGGAAACCCCAACTTTATTTTGGTGGAAAGAAAAAGCCGCATGATTCAAATGGAAAGGCAAAATGGAGATCTGTTCAGGAGCTTCCGCCGCAGCTTTTTCCCGCGAAGCGTTTCTCGCGCTTCGCTCCGAGCCCCCGGCGGTGCAGCTCTCAATGGCCAAGGAGGCGGAGACCGTCATCTGAAGCCTAGGGATTGAGAAATCGGTGCAGTTTTGGAGCTTAGAACTCGCTGGCTGTCGCGCCTCTGCAAAAAAAAACGTCCAAAAAAAAAGTATTTCAAACTTTGTGCAGGTTTAATGACAAAACCCTGCTTGATTTAAAAAGTTAAAGTCTAACCAGGGATCCGGATGCATTCTACACCTGAACATGGCAACTTGTAAAAGGTGGAAAACCCAACTTTATTTTGGTGGAAAGAAAAAGCCACATGTTTCAAGTGGAAAGGCAAAATGGTCACATCTTTTAAGGAGCCCTGCCTAAAGATCCGTCGCCCCATACTCCAGAGAAACGTCTGAACCTTGGGGCCTGAACGGCTGGTCCTGTAGACTAGGCAAAAATCGGACCCCAGCAAATGAGATCTTTTTGCGCCTGGTGAGTGGAAAAGGGACCAACCAAAGAAGCAAAGAAGAAAGGGGAGCTGATTCTGGGGAAGACCTCCGTCAAAAGGGCTGAAAATGATGACCGAATCTTGGTTGCTGTTGATTCCTGCAGAAAGTGAATAACTTTTTGGGGGTCCAATCAGAATTGGCTTGGGGGGGCTGGGTGGGGTGAGGGGATGGGGTCGGGGGGGGTGGGGTTGGGGGGGGGGGGAAGGCGGAATAAATTGGAAAGCCCAAGCTGAAAAGCAGACAACGGGCCGGTCCAAGTGGAACATCGGACAATGGGCGCGGGTCCAAAAGCATTTGGGGTCAAGGGACCTGGGTGGGTCAACAGCCAAATCGGTTAGCTATGGTGAACGTCCCAATCCAACCACTAAAATCGGTTCTAAAATGGGTGAATTTATCTACCTACCGCAAAATGGGATCCCAAAACGGTTTTGAGGCCGGGTCCAAAGGCCGTTGAGGGTGGGGTTGGGGTGGAGAACGGAGAAGCGGAGGTCAAAGTGGAGACTTGGGGTAGAGACTTGGGGTGGGGGGGGGGGGCTTTGGTGGGGGAAAAAACAGGTTTTCTCACTGGCCCAAAGGGTGTTGAGAAGGGGTGGGGTGGAGTGTTGAAAATCAAAGGTGATCAGTGTTCGCAACCAAAAGACCAACTGTGGACGGCGAGTGAGAGTGTTTTTTTTTAAACCCGGTGCTTCCAGTCAAGCCACTATAGTAGGCTTGACAAGGGGAAAACATCTATGGTAAAACATAGAGGTAAGAAACTCGAAGGGTTACCTACTATAGTGACTTGCCTCGTAGCAGTGGGGAAACCACGCCTGGACCTAAATTGAAAAAACCTGGAAAACTGGCATGCACCAAACATGAGCCATACCATGGGCAAATGGAGGTTAACCCAATTCTAGTCCAAGGGAAAAAAGCGCGCCTTTGAAAGCCAAATTGGGGAGGTAACCCCTAACCTCCAAACCAAACCACCAATTAGGGTCTTCCCAAAAGAACTTTAAAGCTCGGGAACTTAGGGATTGAGCAAACATGGACCAAATCCAAATCTGAAGACCAAAACACCGAACCCTAGGAGGTTCTAACTTGCTTCCGCCGTGTCCCGGACATGCAAAAACTCAACCACACCGAAGCCTAGGAGCGCCTGAAAAGCTTCTTTCGGAGCCTAAAAAGGAGCCTTCACAGTAACCATTGGAAAAAGGCGTCTCAGCACGAGCTTAGCGTACGGGACATTGGTATACCGGAAATTCGGCAAGGAAACTCAGATGCCCAGTGACTGGAAAAATATGAATCGGCATCTCTTTTTTTTGGCTTGACTCTAAAGGGGGAACCCTTCCCCAAAAAGGACAAAAGGGCACCACAGGGCAACTGGGAGGCTCTTGGACCCATGAGAGCCTGAAAACCCCCCAAGCAAGGGACGAAGGAGGTTTCAAGGGAAACAACTCTCGACTTTGAAAAAGGGAACTCTCCATTTGCTTTTTGGTCCGCTGGAAAAGATGAGAAACTATTTCCAGTAGGGTCGATTCCCTTTAAAACCAGCAAGGGGAAATATAAATGTTCTGAAGCAAATGGATGGAACGCCGTACGTCTTGGGCGAAATATGGACCAAACCCAAAACGACCACAACAACCGCGTGACATCTTTGGCGGGTCGTCCCACTTGGAGGAGAAAAAGACACACACACAACAAAAAGCGTCATGCTTGAAGCCTTTGGCACTGGAGTCGAAGCGCTAGGGCGCGCGCAAACTGGGGGAGCAGGGAGGGTGATGGGGAAGCGGCATCCTTTCTTAAGCCCTTTTACTTGGTTAACGTTGGGTTAGGGGAGCAACAACTCTTAAATTTTAGCAGTTGAGTGGATTTGGATTTCAACCACTAAACCCCAATAAGCAAAAACAAAAAGTATTTGTTTCCCGACAACAACCATGTTCACTCAGCTTCTTTTGTTGGGTGGTTTGGAGCCGGAGTCGAACCGGTGGGTTGCTTCAGCTTCGTGGGCGATATCTCATTTGCCACGACTGGGGGGGTCTCCCGCGCCCCGGATCCGGGGATCCGGATCTCAGTTGCCACGAAACGGAAAAACTCCCGCGCCATGATGCGGATCCCTGGAAATGAAAGGTGATCAGCTTTCGCCAAAACCAAAAGCTCAGGTCGATTCGCTTGCGAGTGAGCTCAAGAACCTCTGAGCTCAAACTGGTTCTTTGCCAAACAACCCTCAAACGACCCAAACGAACATGGGCTATTCCAACCCAAAGTAATGGTTGGCGGTTTGAGGGTCCAGGTGGCTGTTTGGATGTTTGGATTCTCATTGCTTCAACGCGCACTCGATTCATTGGCAGACCAAACCTCTGGGTGCCCTGCCATTTCCCAAAACGGGAGGAGTTGTTGTTCCGGACCTCATGCGGACGAGAGATGCAGCCAGAGTTTGGGCTCCAGCGTCCAGCTCAAAGATCCGGCTTCCCTTGGTTGACGTTGGGTTAGGGGAGCAAAAACTTTTACATTTTGCGAGTTGAGTGGATTTGAATTTCACCCACTAAACCACAATAAGCAAAAATGGAAGAAATGTTTCCCAACAACAACCATGTTCCAGTTGTGAAACCCATCTCGGTTCGGTGAGTAAACCTCTACCCGCTACTCCAAAGTCTTTTTTGTTGAGGGTATCATGCCGACCCTTTACAATACCCTAGATAAAAAAAAAGGTATTTAGAGCCAGAGTAGAACAAGGAGTTCAAATCCAACAAAAAACACCGTCGAAACCGAAAATTATACGAGAAGACTGGTCACCACTTAGCCCAAAAAAACACGGGGTACACAGAAAATCGAAGATGGGGCAGGTGCCGAAGCAAGAAGCCCACAAAAAAAACAGGGGTAGCGCAGAAATCTGAAGATTGTGTGGTTTGTTGTAAACTTTTTTTTGTCAATATAAAATTGTTCAGGAATCCAAGACAGGAGTTGGGAGCCCCAGAAATTGCAAAACATGTCCTTTGCACTTTACGCCAACCTCAAAGTGGGTGCCTGGACCCTCAAGAAACTATAGGTCCTCCAGTAGGGAGGTTAGAAAAAGGGTACCCTTTTTTCTGTGGTCTAGTGAGTCTAGTTTCGTAGGGGAACCCTCCCGAAAAAAACGGGCAAAAGGGCACTACGGGGGGACCTAGTAAATCATATCCTCACTTGCGTAATCAGGATGCTTGTTCAATGGTAATACGTTCTGAGGCGGGGCGGGGCTAGGCCTTCGTTGCTCGTTCCACAATGACTAGCAGAAGCAACTCTCAGTGCTTGATCGCCTTGGAGTTGCAAAATTCTTAGGAAACCCGTCTAAGTTGCACAAAGGACCCAGAAATAAACGATTTGCCATAGAACATGAATAAACGTGGACCCAAATAGGAAACCAAAGGGTCAAAAGGTAAGCTTTGGGCAAGAGCGAGCCAAGAGCGAGGCCCTTCCGGAAGTTTTGGCGAATATCCTTCGGAATTCCCGAAAACGAGCCATTGGGGTTTTGTTCGGTCCAAAAAGCCAACTACGACCTAGGATTCAGTAAAAGAACGGTTGACCCAATTTGGATGACACTCCTGAGTTAAAACAATGGTTGTTATACTAACCCCACTTGCATGTTCGGCCAATTTAGTGGATAGCTGGTACCCATCAGGGTTAAGACTGGGCTTTGTCACCCATCCGAGCCGAACACCCAAGTAATGGAAATATTTTACCCGGCTATGGTTCTCACTTCCCGACTGGACTGGCCCAAAAAAGTAACGAAGCTGTTTGTTTACCAACAAAATGGTGGAAACCCAAGAGGTGACAAAACCCACGTGTCCTTCACCTCCAAACCAAACCAAACCACCACTTTGGGTCCAAACCCAAAAACCTTTAAGTTCAGCAACTCAGGCAGTGGGCAGACATGGACCAAATGAAAATCTAAAGACATCTAAAGACCCAACCAAAACACCGAACCCCGCATGTGTAGGAGGTTCTTGGACCCTAAATGAGAGCCTTCAACCTCCCAAGCACCTTGACTAATGAGGTTTCAAGTGAAACAAGTCTCGACTTTGAAAAAGAGAACTCCATACGCCTCCAGAAATTCCGCGTCGGTTCAAACTTCTGAAACTGGGACGGAGAGCTTCAACATGATTTAATCCTAGGAGACCCAAAGGGACCCGGAATATGAGGGGTTCTCAAGGAACCCCAAAGGAGGGCCTCAAATAGGTCTTGGGCTCCCAGGATACCACCCAGATTCTATCTTGTGGGTTTGAGGGTCCATCTCCTCTCGCACGGGAACAGTGCCATGGTCAAAACCTTTATGGCCTATGGCCAGGATTTCCGTGGAAAAAAACATGAACATCATTCCTTGCTTCTTCAGGATCGTAGGCTACTAGGTCTTCCAGTTTTGGAGCTTAGAATAAGTTGGTACCCGATGTTTGTCGCTGTAGTCAAAATTTTGGTAGGGGAACCGAATCTCCCAACCAAAACAGGGGTGAGAGGTCGGGCACGGATCGCTGGGGGACCCCAAGGGCTAGGTAGATGAAAGGGCCCCAAGGAAAACCCCCAGGGAACGGCTCCTTTGACCATGCATGCACGCTTTGCTGAGT